TCATGGTTAAGTACTCCTAAATTTAATCTGGGGTACCTAAAAAATTAAAAAAGAAATCTAAGACCCTGGCTTTTCTTTTCTTTTACTTGTAGTTATGGACAACTTAAAGGCAGAAAACCTGAAGTAAATATTGTACTGTTGAAATATAATGATTTCTTTATAAGACCTAACAGAATGTGAATCTGTGATAATTGAAATGATTTTGTAAAATTAAGCTCAAAATTATTTATATAACTTGACTTTTCCCCCTTATAGATGTATATACTTTTATCAAGTTATCTATACAGTTATTGCAAGATTCATTTTACTTGCTAATAACCACAAAATCCTAAAGAACATCCTACACACATACCTCAGAATTTCTGGATATGTAAATTAAAAGTAATTTTAATGCTCAAGACAGTGAGATAAGTTAGTAGATTTTCTACCACCATGATTATTCTCACATCGTAGGTAACATGATTCTCAGGTAAATTTAAATTACTAGTTTCCCTAAGGTAAATATGCAGGATTTCATTTTGGGTGATTTAAATTGGAGAAAGTTTACGACAATCTTGAATTTTACTATGCACCATTATCACTTGGATCTTCCATCATGATTCCAAATTCCACTTATCCAAGCCTAAACTGGGTGTGTGTTTTTTGTTGTTGTTGCTCTGAGTGAGGCTTCTGTCTCAATTTTTCAATTTTTGTGAATTTTACCAGTATTGTCTGAATTTCCAAAAATCAAAATTTGAACTCTTAGAGGTTTCTCTGTTATTATCTCTTAAACTTGTTACTATATCCCATTAATTCCTCCTTTCTAATTGTGATAGGATTAGGGTCTTCACATTGTTTCACCTCATTCCCTGCCTTCTTCATTTCCAATTATTCAGTTAGTCTAAAAATTGGAATTGAGGATACAATGGTAAGTAGTGAAAGAAGAGATCCTTGCCCATATGGCATAGGAAGGAAGACAGATATTAATATGCACATCCAAACACCTGTAAAACTGCAGGTATGGAAAATACTATGAAGAATAAGTATGAGATGTCATAATACTCTCAGATAGACTACTTTGAGCTACTTGTGAGGTTAGGTAATTTAGGCTTTCCTGATGAAGTGATGCATGAATTGAGATCTGAAAGATGAATTAATAAAATGAAGAAGAACAGGAACAACATTGTAATTTGTGGCAACAGAATGTGCAATGCTTTTTTGGTAGAAGGAGAATACTAAGTACTAGAGAACTGAAAAGAAGCTTAGAGCTGGGTGCAGTGGCACACACCTGTGATCCCAGTGACTCAGGAGGCTGAGGCAGGAGGATTGCAAGTTCAAGGGCAGCCTCAGAAACTTAGCGAGGACCTAAGCAAATCAGCAAAACTGTCTCTAAAAAAATAAACAAAAGGTCTTGGGATATGGCTCTGTGGTTAAGTGGCCCTGGGTTCAATGCTCAGTATGAGAGAGAGAGAGAGAGAGAGAGAGAGAGAGAGAGAGAGAAAAGAAGAAGAAGAAGAAGAAGAAGAAGAAGCAGCAGCTTGGAAGAAAAGGGAGAGGCTTGGAACAATTTAAGGCTGGAGAGGTGGGTAGGAATCAAACCATAAATGGCTTTATAGGCTCCACTAAAAAAATTCTTTTCATCCTGTGAACAATGAAAAGCCACTAAAAGGAGCTGAGTGTGTGCTTGTGTGTGTGTGACATGATTATATTTGCCTTTCAAAAAGATCATTCTGATTGCATAATAGAACAGATTGGAGGGGACCCAAGAGCAGTGACAGAGAGCTCAATGGAGAGGTTGCTGTAGTAGTCAGAGGTTGGTAGTTTGATCAGCATGGCAACTGATAGAGAGAAATTGATTGTATCGAGGTATTTAGGCCAGTCATTGTGGTGCACACCTGTGATCTCAGCAACTGGGCTAAGGATAGAGGATCATAGGTTCAAGGCCAGCCTAGGCAACCTAGTAAGACTATTGCAAAATAAAAAATAAGAATAAAAAGAGTGGGAATGCCACTCAGTTATAGAGCACCTCTGGGTTCAATTCTAGTATCTGGAAAAATAAGAAAGAGAGAGAAATTCAGGCAATAAGATCTAAAGAACACAATTACAGGTTGGTTATGGCAGGTGAGTGGGAGAATGGAGGAGACAGATGGAGAGGAGTTTAACTTTTATAACTAAAGGTATGGTGGTATCATTCAGTAAAGAAATACCAGAAGAAGATCAGTTTGGATAGAAGATGATGAGTTCATGTTGGGGTATGTTCAGTTTGAGATATTAAAGCTATCTAAGAGATTACATCAAGGAAGCAATTAGTTATAAAAATGTGTAGTTCAGAATACAGAATTGGTCCGCAGATATGACTTTGAGATTGGTCTGTGTATAGGTGTAAACTGAAACACTGGTTGTGGAAAAACTGCAGAATGAGAAGAGTAGAGAGGCTGGGGCCAAGCCTTCGCAAGGTAAAATAGGGTGAGTCTGCAAAAGATACAGAGAAGGAGTAGCCAGAGAAGCAGAGGTAGTCAGCATAGATAAACTATCTTTAAAGAATTTGGGGAGTTATGGGGAGGAGAGAGATAAGGCAGTGCCTGCAGAGGAATGTGGGGTTTTGATTTTTTTATTTCAGGAGACTGGAATATGTTTCATATCAGGATGGAAACACTGATTAGGGACAGAAAGTGATAACTGATGATTTGAGGTTTCTGAATGGTAGGAGGTGACAGGATCTAAAGCACAGTTGAGTTTCTAGCTGATGATTTCAATTACTTTTTCTTTTAAAGTAGGAGGCATGATGATCTGATAAACATGTGGGGGTGGAATTTGAAAATGGGGAAGATTTGAAAGAGTTATTGCTGTGTGGGAGCATAAATTGACCAGAGAAAAGTAGTAGGGTGGATGGGCAGTGTGAAAGTCTTATTTGAGGTTGAAGTTATGGTACATGCTAATTTATCCTCTTGGGTGACCGTGTCCATCAGTGCTTGATTGCCCAAGTGCAGGCATGGAGGAAATGGACAATAGGGATGGCTCAGAGTTGGTGGGAGGAGATTGGGGGAAGAGGACTTACCAGCATCTTAAGAGTCTCTTTGTGTCCAGTCCCCTCTAGTTCCTGCTCATCCTGTATACCACCATGAAATTTCTTTTCCTCAAGACTGCTTTTTATTAACTCATTCCCCTTGGTCAAGAATATGGATCATTCATGGGCTGGGGCTGTAGCTCAGTGGCAGAGTGCTTGCCTAGCATGCATGAGGCACTGGGTTCCATCCTCAGTACTACATTAAAAAAGCACCTCATAAGCACCTCAGCACCACATAAAATAAAAGCATGCTGTCCATACACAACTACAAATTTTTTTTTTTTAAGAATATGGATCACTCAAAATGGTGCAATGATTTAGAGCACAGATGATAAACCTTGGTTTGAATTTCAAGTGTGAACTTGGATGATTCATGTGAATTTTCTAACAATTCTAAAATAAGGATAATCATAATATTTACCCTATAGTTATTAGGCAGATTAAATGAGATTGCATGCAGCACTGTACTTGGTTTGTAGTAAATACCCAATACATGAAAGCAGCTACATTATCTTTTCTCATCTGTCTTCCTACTCTTCCCTTCAGGTCCCATCTTAATCTTTCATTCTTTCTCATCACTATTCAACACACTCCCTCCCATTCCCTGCTAGATTGATCTTTTGCTGCCTCCGTATTCAATGCCATGTACCTTTGCCTAATCTACCCTAATTCTATCATTTCTCAAAGGTGTAAGAGAAAGCTTCCTCATTAGCTTGAAGCCAGGTTTGCTCTTTCACAGTATTGATCTCCCATTGCATACTGGTGACGTGTAGAACCTTATTATATTCTATTGTTTGCTTTATTATAAACTTCATTATTGTTTTGTTTTAAAATACTATTTTATCTTTTAAAATATTTCAGTACTATAAAACTTTCTCAATGAGAGTATAAACTCTTTGAGGGAAGGAATCATGCTATAAGTCTATGTATTTCTCACAGAACTTAGAATAGTAGAATAGTATTCACAATTCTAGTTAACTTTAATTGATCTGAATGGAGGCATAAGTTAGGCTCCATTGTTCTTCAGAGCAGGGTACAAAGTCCCATGGGGTAACCAAACAATATGCTAGAATATAGGAAGAAAATATTACAATTTCTCCTTATATTTTTGTTACCATTTTTTGACATTTCTATTTTTGTGTATGTTATAATGTATATAATACAAATATACACAAATCTATTTATCTATCTATCTCATGGTTAAGACATTTTAATCTTGAGGCTCCAGATAAAAACGTTTTCAGTTTCTAGTGTTTAAATGAGTGATAGAAAGTTGACTTAGACAAAGTCAGATCAAATATTTTTTGAGAAGTTACTGTGTGCCAGGCATTATGCTAAATGTTTCACACACATTAACTCACTTAAGTCTCATGACAATTTTATAAGGTGGGTGTTATTACAGTCCTTACATTGTAGAATAGGATATTGAAGCACAGAGTTTAAGTAAGCTACTGCAAAGTTTTATAGTAAGCAAGTAATGAATCAAGATTTAAAACTACTTCTATTTGAATCAAAAGTTGATATTCTTTTTTAGAAGATTTTTTAAGTACACAATTTGGTTACATTAATAGATATAAAACTAATAGAATTATCCATTTCTTCTTTGGTGATTTTTGGTAAATATGTCTTTCAAGGATTTTGTACCTTTCCCAAAGCTAATTCTGTCAATCAGTGCTACTTTAGCATGTTTCCCTTTTTTAAGTATCTATATGGACATACCATGGTAGGAATACCTTCCATGGTAATAGTAAGTTACCTAACCAAGGTATTATGAGAACCATATAAGATATTAGTGAGTATACATCATTTTAAGAAAAATGAAATAAACAATGTGATTATGTCTATGATACTTATTTCTCTTAAAAATGAAAAAGAAACTAGATGTTTTCCATAAAAAATTGTTTCTGATTTCTAAGGCTGAATCCAAAGTAAAAAATGCCTTCTGATTTTACAGTTCTTTCTGAAAATATGACAATTGAAGAAACAAGTATGCCTCTTCCACAACAAATAAACTTGACAACCGCTTCCCAAATTACTGAACTAAGACCACAAAAGACTGTACATGTATCTGCAGTGATGTCTAAAAGCATTCCTATGGATGCAACTAATTATACAACTTTATCATATTCTAATAAAATATCTTCACCTGTAGAAATAATGACTGCATCAAAAAATTTAAGGACATCTATAGCTGAGACAGCTACCTTTGCTGCAGATGGTCTATCTTCTGCAGCCATCTCTTGGCCTACCCAGAGTACATCTATATGCACTACCACTGATTCCATGAAAATAACTAAATCCTCAAGTTCAGAAAGCAAAAGGACAACAAAAATGGCAGAAGTCATGTCTACTAAGACCTCACATCCAACTACAGCTATTAATTTCCTTTCCACATCTGGATTTACCAAGAATTCAAGTCCATCAGAAACTTCAGCTGAATCTCAGTCAGCTATTATGAAGACCACATCTTTATTCTCAATTATTGAGTCAACATCCATGTCTACAACATCTTGGCCCAAACAGAAATCTACAGTTATTCCACCTTTCCCTTTTACCACATCTGGGCAAGAGTTTCTTGTATCTACAGCTGCCAGAACTGTACCTTGGTCCACAGTACAAGAGACTTCAGGTACAAGTACTGTCACTGAGACTGCATCAACATTCCCACCTGAGTCTGTGCTCATCTCTACAGTTGCTCCAGTGGATTCTATATTTACGAGAAATCAGACAATATCTACATTGGCAAAAACTGATGTGCAAACAGCATTTACAGTTCATTCTGTTATGCCTTTTGAGACCACACCTGCTGTAAGAACAGCAGAAACAGAATGGGCATCTACAAATTTCCAGAATATTTCTTCACCCAGCTTGGAGGATGCCATATCTACCTCCAATGCAAAAGACACCTCTTCTATGGCTTTTTATTCTGTGACCTCCTCTCCAATCACTAGAACTCAGAATGTACAGACAGTTGTTGATGCTGAGAGTTCAAACACAGCCTTCACTCCTGCAATCACACTTGCACCTACAGTGGCTAAAACTACTTTCTCCTCCACAATCGCAGGGTCAGTACATACTCATAATACACCCACAGCTGGTGAACACATGCTTACTTTAATTTCTACTAAATCACTTTCCACATCCAAGGCATCTGAATCAGATTCCACACCCACAACTGATGAAACTGCCCATGGATTTTCCACCAATGGTAACACTTGGACTTCTAGGCCAGAACAGACCCTGGTAACATCTATAAATACAACTACCACACTTACACTTGTACCTAATGAAAAGTTCACATCAGCATTACATGGGAATATTACTAATACAGAATATTCATCCACAACTACTAATATTATCACCCCACTGGAAGCCTCCACAGAAAGTAAGGCTACCACTAGTACTGATACCACTACAGCTAGATATACAACAGCTCTTACCAAAATAATATCTTCACAGTTTGCTAATTTTTCTACCATTTCTGGAACTACAAATGTAACTAATCTGCCTGAGTTTAAATTTACCACCTTACTACTAAAAACCAACTCTATGTCCACAGTAGGTGCAAATGAACTTCCTTCAACACCAAAGGAGACAGTTGTTCCATCAGCAGATATAACATCTACCCTTGCTGATATTAAACTAAAATTTTCTACTGAAGAAAACACTTCTGAAGCAACACAAACAGAAACAAATGGTACAAGCACATTTGGTGATACAACAGCCCCAGTACCAAAGTCTGTCACAACAGAAAGATTCAATGTTACTGTGACAAGAAAAGAAACAACTTCCCATCATCCTAAGGAAAAATCAACAATAGCAGCAGTAGCTGAGCTTTCTCAATTTTCAACAATGCTGGAAATGATAGATGAATCAGCACAAACAGTGACAGCTTTTGCCACTGTTTCCCCTTTTCCTGATACAGAAAATTTAACTAATCTATTGGATCATAAAACTGTAACTACTGAGGTGGGAGGGAATTGGTTTTCAACAAATTTGATGCAAACCACACCTAAGAGTCCATACAATGGAGCTACAGAAATCTTTAATTCAACCCACAACTATTCAGCACAATGGACTTCAGAGACACCTGGGGGAAATTTAGCTCTGTCTCCCACTTCTGGGAAAATGCAGACATTCCCTGAACTCCTGGATGCTTCTACCACAAGAATATTGGAAGCCAGTGTCACCACTATTCCTACAGACAGGACAGCTTTGTTCTCGTCTGCTGATGTCATACCTCCACAGACTGCAGCTACTCATTCCTCAGTAACCCCTATAGCTGTTACCAGTATGTTCTCACTGCCAGTTAATGTTTCTGGTGTCACTTCTTCTGTCGTCTCTATGGTGGTGTCTGATGAAACTAAGGTGACCATGTCTGAGCCTTTTACACTGGCCAAGGATTTCTCCACATCTATGTTCTCGAATGTTTCAACTCTGTCATCTGCTACAAAAACCACAGCATTGGTGCCACAGTTGAGTCAAACAGCTTCCACAACCAGTGATGCTATGCCTACCCACAGAAACTCAACTGATACCACTTCAGAGGCCGTAGTGATCTCTACTACAAAGACACCCATGGCAGTTCCCCCTCTGACAGAAACTGTAGTCTCAATGAGACCTCTCACTCCTGTGACATCTAACACTAGGACAATCCTTTCCTCCACCTCAGCTGACATAGTAACACCATCCACACACACTCTTGTATGCTCAAAACCTCCCCCTGACAACATACCTTTTGTGTCCTCTACTCATTTGGTCACAACTACATCTGCACCAGTAACAACTCAACCCATATCTCAAGTGGAGAAGACTTCTACCTATGGTCTTAGCTTTCCATATACTTTCAGCAGTGGTGGAAATACTGTTAGCTTGGCTACTGGCACCACAGAGACCTCTGTTGTTGATGAAGACATGTCTTTGCACACCTCTGCCAAAAATCTTACTACCTCAGTAGGCATTCACGTTTCTCAGCCTTCCACACGTCTTGTAAACACACCAGTCTTTACCCAATTGGCAACTGGCACCTCTAATTTATCTTCTGACCAAGAGCAGATAACCACTTCCCTGGGGAAAACCACAAGGACTTTGTCAGGGACAGAAATGTCTCCTTCAAAGAATTCTTTTATTTCCTATTCCCAGGGTACTTCATCCTTAGAAATGACAGATACAGGATTTTCTGAAACCACAAAACCTTCTAGCTATGGAACACATTCACCTTCAGAGATTCAATCTGGGACTATACCTGATGGGAATTCAACTTCATTTCCGACTTCTGGGAGCACACAGGCTACACTTACCTTGACCTCAAGTAAAACAGCAGATGTTCACATTTCAGAAATGTCTACTAGTTTTGGGAAAACAATTCTCCCTTCACAAGCTCTGACAATAACCACTTTTTTGTCTCCTGATAAAGAAAGCACAAATGACCTTCATGTATATACTCCCAGAACTGCAGAAATAATAGTGAATTCCTCCTCTACAACTCACCTTGTCTCATATCACCAGAATACTTCAATCATTCATACCATAACTCCCAGGACAACCAGAATATCAAATAATGTACTCATCAACACAACTCTTTCAGACCTGCCTTCACTTAAGACTCAACCTGAGATAACTTCATTAGTTGCCTCTTCTACTTCTGAAAGCATACATACTTTCCCTAAGTCTTTGTCTCCTTCCACAGCTGGATTATCCAATAACAATTTTACAATGATTTCAACTAATGGGATCACTACAGTCCTTTCTGTAACTACAACACTTCTTGGGGAAACTTCCACAACAACCTCAATTCCTGTTTACCATATAACCTCACTGCCAGTTAATGCCACTACTTTCACTTCCAAAAATGCTTCTGATACTCCCACAATACCAATGACCAAGTCTTCTAAAACCACACACTCAAATTGTTTGAAAAATACTACTATGACCACTTCTGGGCCCACATTTGAGATGTCTTCTAGGCCAATTAATGATTCTGTTTCCTTACCTGCAGCAGGTTCTTTTGACACTTCCACAACAAGTGGGTCATTCTCTATTTTATGGTCTTCAAGTACCCCTAGGACTGCTATGACCACACAAATATCTACACTGAATGCCATACCTGTGACATATGTTGAACCTACTTCAGAAATGATCACACCTACAGCCACATCCTTTCCAACACAGCCAAGTTTTCTATCCATGAAAACCATTTCAACCACTATTCCAGCTGGAATAGTGACTTCAGTTGTAGGTACCACTGCCACCTCTCTACTTAGTTCTAAGAACAGTGAAGCTATTTCCTCCATTCCAACAAGCACGTCTTCACCATTGCTATCAACAATCCAACAATCATTAAAAGGAGATGAAGCTACAACCCTGGGCATATTACTTGGGATTACTAACAGCTCCCGTTTGGCTATGAGCAGTGGTAGAGTGACATCTCTCGCAAATACTTATTCTAGAACTCCTGTCCCTGAAAATGGGCTTTTGCCTACTCCTTCAGATAATCTTCATACTTCCTTGAATATCCAGGTTTCCCCATCTTCAACTGACTCTAAGAGCACTTTTGGATCCACAAAAAGTGTAAAAGACACCACCATTTACCTTTCCTCTAATATGGGAAATATGACTTCCTTGTCAGAAAATATCTCCTTATCAGCTGAGATAACAAAAAGAGCTACATCTGGGAATACTCCTGTTTTATATCCTTCATGGACCCCATCCAATACAACTACACCCTCTTTGACATCACTTCTTTATTCACCTCATGGTACTGAGGCAAATGCTGAGTTCTCTACTCCAGAGGTCTCTCTTACATCACAAATGGTTGAATATCCAGTTCTTGGAACAAAAATTACATCTAGTAACACAAAGTCTCTGCTTACAACTTCCTGGAACACACCCAGAACTGAATATTCTCAGTTTCCAATTTCTACCACTACTCATGTGCCTACATCCAAAAAGACAGAAACAGAGACTCTGCACCTTGTTCCTGGGTCCTTGTCAACATATGCAGCCCCGCAGACTGGTCTAGTCTCTAAAGATGTTATGGCAATGTCATCAATTACCACATCAGAAATTTTTCCTACCTTTGGTATTTCTGAAAGCTCTTCATTGTCAACATCTTTAAGAGATATCTTCACCTCTTCTGCTAACAGTAAGCACACATTTGAGAAAACAACCACATCTGTAATGCCTAGGACCACATATCCATCAAATCCTTCTAAAATCTCCAAGACTACTACTTCATCAATGCTGACTTGGATCTTATCTAGTCTTCCTTCAGGTTTTTCCCTGGTGACTATAACTAATGCTCCTCATGTTATAACTTCCTCCCCAGTAGGGGTGTCAAAATCTACATTTCCAACTTCTTCCATGATATCAACATACCCACACATTAACATTTCAATACTTCCCTTTGCTACTGAAAGCACCACACTTACAAAAAATACTCCTACACCTACCCTGGGCAGTATCATTAATGGCTCTCCAACTTCTCTCCCCATTTCTACAAAAATCACAGATGACAATGTATACATTTCCACAACCCCTGAAGTATCCTCCAGAGCTACTATGACTACCAACTCCAGAACTATGTCTCAACCTCCATCTGTTGATGGAATGAGTATGTCACATTCTACAGCTGACCACACTCCATCTATTGGTTCCATGTCTCTGCCTAAACCTACAAAAACATCTGCATGGAGCTCAATTCCAGCCGAGTCAGTATCTTCTACTTTAACTCTTCCTAATCCCATACTAGATTACCTCATAAATACAACCACTACTACATCCAGTGCCACTGGAGCTTTATTTTCATTCACAGCTACTGGAATAACACATCCTTCCAAAGCAACTGTAACTTCACTAAAGTCTTCTTCTTTTGAGACAACCTGGATGGACTCCACATATTCCTTTCTATCTACAGAAGCACTGACTTCACCAGTTGCTGCTGAGCCCAAAGGTACTATTTCTTTATGTACGTATCCCTAATAGAAGGCATAATGGGCCATGTGTTCTCTAAGTTAGACAGTTCTCTGAGAGCAGAAAAGATGAAGAAGTGTTGCAAGTGTTTCTCTTCTTCAGAGACATAGTGTTCTTGTGCAAACATAATTGTGTAGAAAAGTTTCTTGTATTTAATTAAATATAATGCAAATGTATCTTTGCACTCAGTATGACATTTTTAAGCCTCCTTTCTACACGTTTTGTTCTTGATGCTCTGACTGATTCTGCCAATGTGAACATACTAGAAAATTTTCCCCTACTCAGTAGAGATCATATGGCCCTAGATCTGACCATGTTTACCACACATCAGAAAACACTGGAATATATTCTATGCTGCCTTTGAATTCCTCATACTCAGGTCTCAGCCTTCTCCAATCCCTTTAACCAGCTGACTAAGAATACTTATCCATAGCTAGGGAATATTTGACTTCCATATTGTTCCCATTTTGTGTGTCTCTGAAACTTACACTATTCAAAAATTAAAATGATAGAATACAGAAGAGCAGGAGGAACTTAAGGGAAAGAAAACCCTGAAGCAGAAAGGAAGATTAGGTGGGAGGATGCAGGTTATTTTCTCAGTATAAATATGAGATAATGTTCATTTTGGCTATTGAATAGACTGAAAGTCTGTTGTTCAATGAAAGTAGAGAATTTGGGGGAATTTGTAGAATATTGATCAATTATGTAGAAATCAGAAAAATGTCTAAATAATTAAAGCAAAAATGGTATGATGCCATTCTGCTTTGCTTCTGAATATGGTACCAAAAGTAATGGTTCTTGACCTTACATTTAAATTATGCAAAGTTTACACATTAGAGGTTGTTGTTTCATTTGTTTTAAAATGGAGAGCAGTTTTAATCAAATTTATAGAAGTCAAATTTCTTGAACTAAATGAATAAAATTAATCTCCTTATTTTTTAGTTACAGTTTCCTTCTACAATATTGAAATGAGCTTCTCTGTCTTTGATGAAGAGCCAAGGGTCCCTGTTACCAGTGTTATAAGTGAATTGGCAAAAAATTGGGTAAAATATTTTTTGAATATTTATGATACATATAAACTTCTGTGACAAAGAGTTAGTAGATTAAAACTAGATTTTACTTTTTTCTATCAATAAACCATTTCACAGATAATGAGGTTTTTTTTTCATTGCAAATCTATTCTGTAAGCAACACTGTGAGGATCTATGCAATCTCTTTCATAGTGCCAATAGTTGAAAGCTTTTATGCAATGTTATTATTTTCATTTGTTTAGATCTGCATATTTCTCTCCAGTTACACAATTTCTGAGTCTTTGCCAAAATTTTCTATTTGGAGGTAAAATAGAAGAACAGTGACAAATTCTGTGCCATTGTATCTAAGTATCTTTGTTTTATGCAATTTAACTTTTCTCTCTCCTTGAATTTTTCTGATAATAAGACTAATTACATATGGTTTGTAAAAAAATTATCAGATATTAGTATCTAAAACAGAAAGCAAATATCCTCTACTGCTCCTCCTTCCATTAACTACTCCTAATGGTCTAAAGCATATTCTTTTAGATGTTTTAGATTTTTCTATACATATTATAACATTAATGCATGTGTGTTTATTCACATAAATAATTGAAATCATGGTATTATGGCCTGACTGATTCTGTTAAGTTCCCCTTACTCAGTCATGCATATTTTAAATTTTATTTTTGCAGTGCTGATTAAAAAACCCCTAGGCCTCCTAGACAAGCATGTACCACCACTAAGCCATATCCCCAACCATTAACCATTTATCTCTGAGCATATTTATGAGAGTAAACATAGATCAACCTCATACACTTTAACAGATACATAGGATTTAACTTATATGGTTGTAATGTAGTGTTTTTTCCTTCAAATCTAGGTATCCATTGGTGGACATTTAGGCTCTTTCTATTTTTTCTCTATTTTTAATCACTTCTGAGAGCAATGCCCTTGCAACAAATTTTGAGGCACTTGAGGGTAAATCCCTAGAATTGGAATTGTTACATCAAAAAATATATAAAAATATTTTATATATTAAGAGTTATTACTGGGCTGGGGATGTGGCTCAAGCAGTAGCATGCTCGCCTGGCATGCGTGCAGCCTGGGTTCGATCCTCAGCACCACATACAAACAAAGATGTTGTGTCCGCTGAAAACTAAAAAAAATAAATATTAAAAAAATTCTCTCTCTCTCTCTCTCTCTCTCTCTCTCTCTCTCTCTTTAAAAAAAAGAAGAGTTATTACCAAATGGCCTCCCAGATAGGTAATACCAACTTGCATCTTCCATTCAATGGTGAATGATCATATTTATTTCTCCTCTCCCCATCAACACTTATTTTCAAGTGTGTAGAACATGATTATAAGTGCTTGAAGATGGTGAGTGTATCAGTCTGCTCATGGCGTCTTATGAAGATCTGACAGACTGGGTGGTTGGAAGACAGGCATTTGTTTTCTCACAGTTCTGGAGGCTGGAAATTCAAGATAAAGGTGCTGTCAGGGTTGGTTTCTGGTGAGCTCTCTCCCTGGCTTGCATATGGCTGCCGTCTTGCTGTGTCTTCGCCTAGTATCTCCTCTGTGCTCATGCATCTCTGGTCTCTCTCTTTTTATAAGAATATCAGTTATATTGGATTAGGGACCCACTCTTATGACCTCATTTAACCTTAATCACCTCCCTAATGGCTCTAGCTCCAAATATGATCACATTTGGGGTTAGGGCTTCAACATTTGGACTTGGGGGGGATAATTAAACCCATAACTGTAGGTAAAATGTAAATTGGAAAACTAAGTGGAGCAGATGGACATGTTGAGCCAACTGAAATAATGAATACAGCTTAATGATCACATTGTCCCGGGTGACTTTGCTGGGTTAAAATAGAAGAGTGAGAATATGAAAAAGTTATTTTCTGTTTCTTTTCTTTTACAGTTGAATTATATATTTCAAGACAGTGAATTTTCCCTTGCTAATCTGGCTATCCAAATAAAAAGCAGGTATGTGGATGGCATCTTTTCTGGTTGGAAGAGCAATTTGAGAGCATTCCGGGTCTGTTCATATCCAGTAGGAATTTCTTTTTGTATGCCTCAACTTTAGGGGCTATCACATTTATAGTTGCATCTTCTTTTCTAAGTTCTCTTTGGAATGAGGAAGAAATTTGTCTTACTGCAGGGTATAAAGCCAACAGGAGGAAAAAAAAAGTTGAAATTAGACCAAGTTATCTCTACTGCTTGTATAGTTTCTAAAATTCCATGAATCTGTGACTCAAGGAAATCATGCTTTAAAGGGATGAAAATATATAGATGGCCAAATGCGTGAAGATTTATAAGACATTTTACTTTCAGATGATGCACTTTTGAGAATTAAAAATTCCAAAGGGAATATGGAATGTTTAAAATGAGGAATGTCAACTACTCCAAGACTTGCTTGGGGCACAAATTTCAAGAGGCAATTGAAATAGGCAGAAACTGAGTAGTATCAAGGAAACCATGGTAAAGGCTCTCTGTCACCTGAAAAATGCTTCCTGTGCTTTTCTCTGCACATATATTAGTTTTCTATTAGAGGGACACCCAGAACAATAGGTATGGCTCTGTTAAATCATGATCAGTTGATTTTTTGAAAAAACATTAAATGTCTTACTCTATTTTCTGTTGCATTATCAGAATACTTCAGACTGGGTAATTTATAAAGAAAAGAGGTTTATTTTGGCTCATGGGTCTGAAGGCTGGAAAGTCAACAATTATATAGACAGACACATCTGGTAAGGGCATGGTGCTGTTTCGACTCATGGTGAAGAGGGGAAGGTGTGTGAGAGCAGGTGTGTGCAGAAGAGGTAAAACAGGAGAGGCAGCCTCATTTTATAACAATCTACTCTCCAGATAACTAATCCAGTCCCATGAGAGTGAGAACCCACTCCCAAGAGAAAGACACGAATCCATTTATAATGTCTCTGCCCTAACACCTCTCACTAGACTCCATTTCCCAAGAGTGCCACTTAAGGGGCGAAGTCTCAACATGATATTTATTAGGGATAAATCATATTCAAACCATATTACTAAATGTGACTATTTTCTGATAGCTGGACTTCATTTTTTCTTATATGTTAAATATTAATAGGTGGGAGGTTCATATAAAAATAATGTAGGCAAATCCATTATAGATGATTGTCTTAGTTTGGGCTACTATAATAAAAATACAATAGACTGGGTGACTTAAACCATAGAATTTTGTTTTTTATGGTCTGATAACTGGGAAGAAAGCATGGCCAGGTCCAGATAAAGGCTTCTCTGCTTATAGTGTCCTCACATGGCAGAGAACAGAGAAAGAGGAAGCTGTCCTGTCTCTACTTACAATGGCACTAATCATGTTCATGACAGCACTAGCTTCCTGGCTTAATTACCTCCAAAAGGCCACACTTTCTAATATTTCATAGGTGATTAAGCTTCAAATTGTTAATTTTAAGTACATACAAATTTTCAATCCCAAACAATTACTAATACAATATCGGAGATATTTGGGGTATACAATGTTCCTTTACAAAATTGTTTACAATTGTTCTTTATTGCAAGGTAAGATGTGGCCATTGTAAAACCTTAGAACTTAACAGAAATATATGACATAGAAAATGAAAATCCCTGGGAAGTCACTTTTCCCTACTCCTTTAAGGACTCCTGTGAGGGATGGAGACATAGATCAGAGACAGAGCACCTGCTTAGCATGCATGAGGCCCTGGGTCCTATCCTCAGCACTGAAAAAAAAAAAACCTGAACAACTTATTTTATACATTCCTCTAAATTTTTCTCATGTGTTTACTAAGAGAACAGAATCCTACTCTGTGTACTGTTTAACATCTTTCTTTTCTTGTTTTGTTATATATAGTGTTTTCTTGTTTTGTATCTTTTTGGGCCAACACATACAAATATATCTTATACATTTTGATAATTACGTAAGATTCTTTTGTGGGAGCATAATATGATGTATGTGTTCAGTTGTCTAATGACAGACATTTGAGTAATTTCTACCCCAGTATATATATTTTATGCACCATTACTGGTACAATTATGGAATAGATTCCTGGAAGTAGGATTATTGAATCAAAGGTTTACCACCATTTTGGTATGTAATGACCAAGTTCATTTCAAGTGTTCCATTGAACCCACAGCACTACTTAAATTCGAAGCTGAGAGGATTCTACTCTTCTGCTTTAGAGATTTCTTCATCCTGATCTTGTGTCCTGTGTAGTTGGTACTATGTTTCACTTTTATACAATTTTATGATGCTTTTGATACAGGAAAACTTCTGAGGAAGAAATGGCCATGGACCGACTTCTTGTAAGTAATTTTGAAAAATCAACTTACCTGAGACCAATATTATAATCAGGTATTAGATTAGTAAATAGATCTTTTACCCAAGGGTGTTTTATCAGGCAAGATTCATTGTTGACAATTGAATATCAAATTAAATTACTTCCACAACAATCCATTAAAAAAAACATCCCCTGCTTGTCTGAACTATCAGTGTGACAGTTTTTTGAAGCACATTTTGTGGGCTAAGAGAATGGGGAATGACGTGGGGATTGTAAATGTTACATAGAATTTCTTCTATTCTCTACAATTTCTTCTATTGTAGAGATCTCACAAAACTTCCAGCCTTTTTAAGAGTGACACAACTGTTTGCAAGACTGGTATTCACATATTAAATTTAAATCTACCCTCTATATTTGTATAGCTGTGAAATCAGAGTTTGGCAAAGTTATCTCCCATCATCCTTGTCCCAAATCTCAATACTTATTTTAGTGCCTTAAAGTCTTACAATGGTACACTCTATGTATCATTTTTAAATGATTAGAAAGTACAGAGCTTTTAAGGTATTTAAATATGAGGTAAATATTTTGACTATACAAAATACATTAAGTGCATTATCTACCATCATTTAAAATACCTCCTATATGTAGTTGTCAGAATTTTAAAATTTAACGTTATAGATAACATGATATAAATAAAACTTCAACTAGTAGTTGTAAAAGCTTTTTGGTGATAATCTGGTCAAGCTGCCTGGACTAGAATTCCTCCATTCCTGGCTGTGATATTTGGGACAACTTAATCAACCTCTGTTTCTTAATTTTCTCATCTTTAAAATGAGGATTGTTAGAAGGATAGAATGAGCTCACTTACGTTAAGTGCTTAGCAAAGGGCTCAGAATGCATTAAACGTTCCATGTGTACTATTGTCACCACTGTGTTAATATCTAGATCCAGGAGCTTAGATTCTGTTCCTAATCCTGTTTCAGTGACTATGTACTTTTCTTTTGCATCCATTGGAACAGAGAGAAGAGCAAGGAATGCCTACAATTTCCCATGTACCATACAGGTAGGAGCTGAGCTTACTCATAGCTGGTACATTTAGTTCTGATTTTCCTTCCATTTAATTCCGTATGCACAGCCTGTTGGTCAGGGATGTCAGAAGGAGATCAAAGTACTTGATGGTTATTTTACAGATGCTGTAATTGGGCTTTTGCCTTCACAAAATAGTTGCTTTGGTTGGTCACAGCACAGCCTAGCAATCTGCCTGCTGCCTCTTTGTAGTGAGGAGAAAATGGGGTCCAAAGTGGTTATAATTGGGGGATAGGGGAATATACTGTTTGTTGTGGTCAATAAGGTTCATGAAATACTGAGCAGGAGAATTGAAAACAATGACAGCAACATAGAAAGCATCCCTGGTCCTGCTCAGATTCATGGCCCAGCTCCTCCTGGAACACTGGCTACCGTTCAACTGTTTGGTGCACATCATAATGGACATATAGCCAAAGAAGCCTCATGAACAGATCATTGAAATGTTCAAGGGGCTGGCATAGAGGGTCTGTTGCAAGCAAGATGAGAGGTTCAAAAAGAGGATTCTTATTCAGACTGGAAATCCAAAAGCTGAGAAGAGATAGGGTTCAAATTCAATGTGTAGGATGAGCAGGGACTTCACCACATATAGAACAGGGGAGGGGGAGGAATCAAATAGATTGGATATACAGAGAAGTGTTGAGTAAAGGCATCTAACTTTCAAAAACTGGTAGGAAACTCAGCAAATATGTTTTTCAAAAAACGATATGTACCAAGAATCAATTAGTAGGATGGCATCAAATTAAAAATCTTCTGCACAGCAAACAAAACAAGAGTGTGATAAGAGAGCCTACAGAATGGGAAAAGATCTTTGCCAGCTACTCTTCTAACAGGAGATTAATACTCAGAATATATAAGGAACTAAAAAAATTAACACCATCCCCCCAAATAATGCAATCAATAAATGGGCAAAAGAACTAAACAGACACTTCTCAAAAGAAAAAAAAATACAAATGGCCAACAAATATATAAAGAAATATTCTACATCTTTAGGAAATGTAAATCAAAACTATATTGAGCTAGGCATGGTGGCTCGTGCCTGTAATTCCAGAAATTCAGGAGGATGAGGAAGAAGTGTAACAAGTTTAAGGCCAGCCTCAACAACTAAGTGAGGTCCTAAGCAACTTTGCGAGACTCTCCCTCAAAGTTAAAAAAGAAAAAAAAAAGGTGGTGGGTGCCTGGGAATGTGGCTCAGTGGTAAAGCACTTATGAGTTCAACTCTAGTACCAAAAAAAAAAAAATACATTGGGATTTCATTCCATCCATGTCAGTGATCAAGAATACAAATAATAAAAGCCAGTGAGGATGTAGGGTAAAAGGCATACTCACATATTGTTGATGGGATTGCAAATTAGTACAACCACTCTGGAAAACAGTATGGAGATTCCTCAAAAATATATGACTCATCCATCCCACTCCTTGGTATTTATCCCAAAGAACTAAAATCAGCATACTCTAGTGAAACAGCCACACCAATGCTTATAGTAGTGCAATTCACAATAGCCCAGTTATAGAACCATCCCAGATTTCTATGGACAGATGAGTAAATGAAGAAAATGTGGTTTATATACATAATGGAGTTTTACTGAATCACAAAGAAGAGTGAAATTATGGCATTTCCAGTAAATGGATGGAACCAGAGAACATCATGCTATGTAAGATAAACCAGCCTCAGAAAGTCAAGGGTCAAATATTTTCTCGCGTATGAAGAAGCTAGAGCAAAATGGAAAAAGAGGAGATCACATGAAAATAGAAGGGAGATCAGTGGAGAAGAGGAAGGAGATAGAGGAAGAGGGAGAAGGGATGGGAAAAGGGATGAAAAGTGGAATTAAATTGACCAAATTAGGCTGTGTACATATATGAATATACCAACAGTGAAGTCCATCCTTATGTATAGCTATAAAGTACCAATTTAAAAAACAATGACTAGAGAGAAAGAAGACTTAAAGAGCAGAGGAGAGGGAGAAGGGGGAGTGAGGAAGGGAGGGTAAAAGGAAATACTGGGGGCTGAAATTGAGCAAATTATATTTCATGCACATGCAATTATGTGAAAATGAACCTTCTATTATGAATAACTATAATGTACTAATAAAATATTTTAAAACTGCATGTACTAATGGAAATGGAGGAAAGAGATATAGGTAAGTGTGAATTTTAAAAGGTTCCCCTAATGAAATATTAGAGGAATTTACAAGGGTTAAGGACCTCACTCTATGGGTCGAGGTCAGGGACAGTCTATTCTTTTATAACATATGTTTTAGTGGACAGAAACACTGGATGGGTTTTTGTGACTGAGAGAAATATCTCCCTAAAATTCAGCTCCCTCATCTGTAGAATGGGAATAATTAACCTTATAATGTTGCTCTGAGGATCAAATGACTCAAAAATGTGCAGCAAGAGCTCTACAAATGTTAGCTATCATTATCATCATTATTATTCCATTATAGAAATAAGCCTTCTGTGGATGATGTCTTTATGAACTAATTGGACATGTGTCTATTTGCCATATTGCACTAATGATGGATAAATTGGAGATCAGAAGGATAGAAGGTTTTCTCTGAAATAATAAGTCCTGAGCACTTCATACTTTCTATTAATTATTAGAAACTCCTGGAGAAATCTCATGGTTAGTCAATTTCCACATACTATAAATGTTGCTGACATTTCATTTGAAAATAGGTTTTCGGTTGTCTGTGAGAAAAAATTTTCAGAAGATTTCAATATGCTGTCTTCCATCATTTCTTAAGATTTTTCACTTAATATCTACAAAATGTTTGACATTTATGGACTACCAATTAAGGCAACTATACCAAATTTCAGCACTGCAGGCCAAATTGCACTGTGCTGACATAACTGCACATTTTCTTTTTTGTCCCATTTTGTAGCTGTGCTTGTCAGGTCATCATAAAGGCTGACTCTTCTTTAGCATCCACGGAATTGATCATCAAGATCAGAAATAAAATACATGGCAACTTCTCACGTGGAAACTTCACACAAGATCAGTTCACATTATTAGTAACGTCTGAACACATCACAGTGAAAAAGCTAGGTAATTATTTTGGTTGAGTATTTCAGTATGAATTCACTCCCCCTCTTATAAAATTCATGATGTATTCAGAGTAAGGACCCTAAGCTCAGAGGGAAGAGAAGTCATCTTCATGATCCTTTCCACATCTGCAGTACCCACTTGTCCTGATGGCCTTTCTACCTTTAAAAGCTTGTGAAAGAAATGGATTGCCTGAGAGTTTATAAGAGATCATTTGTCAGCTGTGGATATTAGCAGTGGCCAGTCTACCCACAGTGTGGGAGGATTGTCTCTCTTGCACAAAACACCCTGAAGCCCAGAGAGCTTTTTTATTACATACAATAGATGCCTAATAGATACTTGCTAATTTATTGTTTCATTCAGGCATCCTATTCATCTTGAGAAGTGATTTGGGAACTGTCCCAGATTTCTCTCCTAGGCCTTTCCTGATTAGGAATGCTTAACTGGTAAAAGTAAAATCCTACCAGTCTACTCTACTTCTCTCCCATTGCTGCCAGCTTTGTTTCTTGCCCCAACAGACTGTCATAAAAACTTTCTAGTGAACCCGGACATACACAGATATTCCTACTCACAATCCTTGGCAGCAAGTGAATGAAGTAGCAGAGGGCAGGCTGTGATTGCACAAGAGAGAGAGTGGGATGAGAGGCAGAGAAGTGGGAGGGCACAGGCACAGCCCATTGTGCAAAGGATGCTGATGCTGATAAATGTGTCCTGAAAGTGATAGGAAGGTACTTTACCTCCTGGCTCACAGAGAACACTGGGATGGGTGGTTTAAAAGAAGGACAGTTGACAGGTGGATACTTTTGATGCTTTCCTCTAACACCCCTTTATGTGACTGGAATTTTTTTTTTAATGCATATATACTATTTAAACAACAACAACAAAAATTTTTTTTCCTGTCAACTGATGGCTTTAATGAAAGGACTAAACCCGTGGTTATACTGGATGGCTTATTTAAACAAGAATACTCTATTTAAAGCTATTTTCAGTGCAGCCTGATTTAAATGGCCTGGTAGAAAGAGCCTCCTCTTTTATTTGCTGATGTGTGTGCAGTGTAGTAATGATGGGTCGTAATGGATGCTCATGATACTTTTAAGAGCCTTTTGCCCTTGAAAATGTGCATACATTTTCTCTGTAGATCCAGGAAAGTGTGAAGCCCACGAAACACCCACTAAATACAAAGGGACATATAAGTGGCTATTAACCTACCCTACTGAGACAGCCCAAACCAGATGCATAAAAAATGAGGATGGAAATGCCACTAGAATCTGGTATGTACCGGCCAAGTTCTAATTGTTAGTTCACATTCACAAAGATCCGCTTCGTTGGGGGCATGTTTCTATGTCATTTCTCTGGGTGTGCTCCCTCCCCTCCACCTCTACTGCCAGTCTTTCTTTTCTTCACCTTGTGGACTTAAACATACATATGCAATATAATAAGAAAATAATGTCAAGAAGACAAAGAGAGAAGTCAGTCACCATCCCACCATTGAACACAGCTGTTTTTAGGTTGGCATGTTGTCTTTCTCTGTATGCCTTTAAATTTTCTGTGGAGGTAATCACAGTTCAGTTCTCCAATCCGTAATGTAATTTACCCTTTCACTCAATGGTTTATCAAACATTTTCCGTGTTTTACATTCATCTTCTTAATGATTATTTAAAAAATTGGCCTCAGATGCTGTCTCGTTGATGGGCCATAGTAATTTACTAAATCACTCTTCTATTGTTGACTTTATCATTTTCCTTTTTAAAATCATCAGCCCTTTTTTCTTACTCTCTGCTGTTAATGGTTTATGCCATTAACTTAAGTGGGCAAGACCAGAAGGACAGCAGGTTTTGACAGAGGCTTAAAAGCACCCTTAGAAAGCCACATCTCCAACTGTATGCTACCTTTCCCTGCCTACATCTAATCAGTCCTCAAGGAGGGCAGTTCTGACAGCCATAGTCAGGGCCCACATGGAGCATCTCCTTTCCAACCCCACTGCTTGGCGCAAGCCCATTACTAGCTCTCACCTCCTGTTAGAGTAGTCCCTTCGCCTTCTAAGCACCAGCTACCCCAGCTCCATTACACACTGCTGCCAGCATGATTATCCCAAAGGCTAACTGTCATCATGTCATACTCCTACTCAGGAATGAAATCCAAACCCCTAAATGCAGTCCTCCAAATTGTAGACTCCCTCTCCTGCTGTCTCGTTCACCACTTCCCCTCCCTTTACCATGCATTCCAGCCAAAAAGACCATTTGTTAGTCTGGACTCAATGGACACTTCCTTGTGTCTCTCTCTGTGCTTGTGCTGTTTGCTGTGCAGGGAGATGGGGGTCAGGTGGGCAAGTTGTATGTCTTTCTTTGCCTCTGTCCTTTCAGCACTGGGCTCAGCTCAAGTGTTGAAAATAAGTTCTTGCTTGATGGTTTGATGCATTCCATTTTGTTTATACAGTTTTTCTTATATTTTGTCCAATTTTAAAGAAGGTAACATTTAGAATCTGAAACCACTGAACTACACAAATCTCAGGGGAGGATCAGCCTACAACATAATGGGTACTCAATGAATGTGCTGGCTGACTTGAACTGTGTTAAACTGGATGAGGCACTGGGAAGGGTGGCTGAAAGTGTCAGTGAGCTACAGAGGGTTCTATACTAATCACCTAGAGGAAATTTATATGCTGAGTTAGAGACTGCATTCCCACAAGAATTTCCCTTTACAATCAGAGGTAAGAGGAGGAAATGAAGGTAAGTAGTCATGTTCAGCAGACTGACATCTCTGCCTTGACTCTTGATCAGCCAGACATTGCCCTGCCTCCCTCCCCCATCTCTGTTGCCTAGTCATCCTCCCACCTGCTGACCCTAGTTTCACTTGTTCTCAAAGAACAAATTTTTCTTCACTTTACAAAGAAGTACTGTATTCCTGCCATGCTATCTTGGCCAGAAGGCTGGGGGTGGGTCAGGGAAAGGCATGCCAAAGATAGACCTATTTTTTCATCCTTGGATGTCTTTTATTCCTCCCTTCTCTCTTTTTCAGTTCAATCAGCATTCAAACAGGCAAATCTCAGTGGGAGAAACCAAGGTTTAAGCAATGTAAATTGCTTCAAGGACTTCCTGAAAAGATTGTGGATCTTGCTAATATTACCATCAGTGACGGTAAGATTGTTTTGTACACATCGGAGAAATGGAACCTTAGCTAGTTTGCCTACTTGTCCTGAGACCAGAGAGTACAGGTAAACCTCGTTTAATGAAAATCTACCCTATAATAATCCAGTTTCAGAAACTAGGTAGTTAGTTTAAGTTGCTGGAAGTGGTGGGGATGTGACAAGTTAAGACTATCACGGTTTTTAATTTTGTTTTATGTATTTTTGTTTTATGATTTTTGACTTACTATTTTTCATTTTGCAAAAAAGTTTAATTTATAAATACCTCATCTAGTCCAATATTCAAAGACAAAAATAATCTACAGTGAAACATCTCCCTGCCAGTGGTGGCCCCAGCCATTCAGTGACTATTCACAGAGAGAGTATACACATCTATAAAGAAATGTGTAGGGGCTGGGATTGTGGCTTAGCAGTAGAGCGCTCACCTAGCACATGCAAGCCCTGGGTTTGATCCTCAGCACCACATAAAAATAAATAAATAAAATAAAGGTATTGTGGGCTGGGGATGTGGCTCAAGTGGTAGCGCGTTTGCCTGGCATGTGCAGGGTGCTGGGTTCGATCCTCAGCACCACATAAAAATAAAATAAAGATGTTGTGTCCACCGAAAACTAAAAAATAAATATTAAAAAATTTTCTCTTTTTTTCTCTCTCTGTCTTAAAAAAAAAGAAATGTGTACACCATACGCACTTGTGCCTGTATATGTTCTCCTTCCCTTTTTCTCTTTTTTTCCGATTTTTTTATTGGTGCATTATAGTTGTACATTTTGATGGGATTTGTTGTCCCATATTTGTACATGCACACTCTCCCTCTCTTTTGTATACAGGATAGAGCATGTCATACATACCATTCTGTACCTCACTCTTTTCTCTTAACAATATAGAGAGGGAATTATTATATCGTTATATAAACAGCTTATTCATGCCCCCACACTAACTATATTATATTTCATGAGTGTGCTGCAGTTTATTTACTGGTAATTTATTTATTTGGTCATTCAATAAATTTATTTTTAATTGGCACAAAAACATAAAAGTTGTACACATTCATGAGGTACTATGTGATGTTTGATATACGTAAACATTGCATACTATTTAAATCAGATTAAATATATTTATTTTCTCAAACATTTACCATTTGTTTATGGTGAAAACTTTAAAAATACTTTCTGGTAGCTTTCTGAAATGTATAGTACATTATTGTTATCTGTAGACACCCTACTGTGCTATAGTACCCTAGAGCTTCTTGCTCCTGTCTAACTGTAACTTAGTACCTATTGATCAACCAACCTTTCCCCATTTTTGAAAACAACTCTCCATAACCTATTTATTTAAGCGTTTTTCTATGTATGGATACTTAGATTATCAATGACATTTTCCTTTAAAAACACTATCACAAACTGTTTTTACTTATTTGTGTTTTTTATTAAAAGGAAAAATAGCATATGTTTAAAAATATATTTTTATTAGTATGTAAAATGTTTCAGAACTGGCATTCTCTAAGCAGCTGATATAGAAGGATTCATTTCTTTTCATATTACATTTATAGACCATGTTAATTTTCATTCTGGTTTGTGAAACTTCATTAGTGTATTCCATACTGTTAGATAAAAGAGACTCAAAACAAAGTGTATCTCTTTAAACTACATTGGGATATAATTTTTCTAATCAAATCACCAAACACCTAAAAGGCCAATAACATGCTGTGTTGATTAAATTGTTCTAAAACAGGTACTTTGATAACTTACAAGTGGGAATATAAAAAAAAAACACTGCTGTAGTGGATATCATAGGTATGTCACAATTTGTGCAAGTAGGGTATAACTGAAGCATAAATTCTTGCAAGTGGAATGTCTAGGTTAATCCTATTTGAGATGATGTCAAAATTCTCCCTATATAGTTACACCAATTTATTCTCAACACAGCAAGTTTTTAGACTCTTGGGTCTTTGTTGATTTGATTAGCAAAAATTGAAGTCTCGATGTAGTTTAATTTTTTTGGTAGAGATATTCCTATGTCTGTATCTATTTAATATATACAAATTAGAAGAGTATTTTTTCAGAGGACTTTTTTTAGCACATTCAATAGCTTGTGAAACTAGAATCATTAATTTTCCCAAGAAGAAACCTTGTACCCATTAGCAGTCTATTTATCTCTCTTTCAGTTCTTGTCCAGCATGCGTCCACTTTGTATCTCTCTGAATCTAAGCATTTCATAATGTTTTGGAGGTTTGTCCATGTTGTAGCATGTGTAGGAATTTCATTTCCTTTTTTGTAGATCTGTGTTTACTTCTGTTATGTATATTGAAGTGTAGAATTGCTTGGTTCCTATAGTAACCCTACAATTAGCCTTTGGAGGACTGCAGAACTTTCCCACAGCTGCTGTACCATCTTACATCATGCCAACACTGTCCAAAGATTCCACTTTTCTTACATATTTGTAAACACTCATTATGGTTCATTTTAAACTATGGTTGGTGGTAATGCCTCCCCCTAACATGGGCACCTTCATTCCTGATTTTGGTAATTTGTGTCTTCTCTTTTCGTCTTGGTTAGCTAAAAGATTTTGAATTTTGTTGATTATTAAAATAGTTTCTTCATTTGGAGGAGTTTCAGGTTCACAGCAAAATTGAACAGAAAACAGAATTCCCGTATGCACACCCCCTTGACACATGAACAGCTAGCCCTCACCATCAACAACCCTCACCAGAGTGCTACATTAGTTACAACTAATAAACCTACCCTGAAAAATCATAATCGCTAAAAGTTCATAGTTTCCATTAATATTCACTTTTAGAGTTGTTTATTTGAACAATTGTATCATTCAGAATCAATTCACTACCCTAAAAATTCTCTGTGCTTCACTTATTCATTCCACACTTCCAACTAACCCCTGGAAACCACTGATCTTTCTATTGTCTCAGTTTTTGCCTTTTCTAGAATGTCATGTAGTTGAAATTATATGGCATATAGCCTTTTCAGGTTGGCTTCTTTAACTTAGTTATATGCATTTAAGGTTCTTTCATGTCTTGTCATGGCTTGATAGCTTATTTCTTTTTAGCACTGCATAATATCCCATTGTCTGAAAGTACTACATTTTATTTATTTGGTTATCTACGGAAACAAATCTTGGTTGTTTCCATATTTGAGCAATTATGAATAAGACTGCTATAAACATCAGTGTGCATGTTTTTATATGGATTTGTTTTCAACTAATTTGGGTAAATACCAAGGAGTGAAATTGCTGAATTAAATACTAAGAGCATGTTAAGTTTTGTAAGAAACTGTCATATCTTCCAAAGTGGCTGTATTATTTTAATTCCCATCAGCAGTGAATGAGAGTTCCTGTTGCTCCACATCTCTACCAGCATTTTATGTTGTCACTGTTTTGGATTTTGATCGTTCTAATAGGTGTGTGATGGTATCTCATTGTGTCTTTAATTTTCAATTCCCTAATGATGTGTGAAGTTGAATATCTTTTCATAACTTACTTGTCATCTGTATATCTTTTTTTGGTGAGGTGTATGGTATACAATGAATGTTTATGCTCCATCACCAAATTTATATGTTAAAATCCTTATCCCAAGGTGACCTTATGGTAGGTGATTAGGTCATGAAAGTGGAGCTCTCATGAATAAGATTAGTGCCCTTATAAAAGAGGGCTGAGGGAGCTTGTCTGTACCTTCCATCATCTGAAATTATAGTGAAGAGATCATTGTCTATGAACCAGGGAGTGGAGCCTCATCAGACATTGAGTTTGAATGGATAAGGAAAATGTGGTATATATGCACAATGGAGTTTTGCTCAGTCATAAAGAAGAATGCAATCATGTGATTTGCAGGAAGCAGAAAGTCAAGGACTTCATGTTTTTTTTTTTTTCGTATGTGGAAGCCAGAGAGAAAAAAGAAAGGAGAATCTCATGAAAATAGAAGGGAGTCCAGTGGAGTAGAGGAAGGGGGCCTGAGAGAGAGAGGAAGGGAGGAAAAAGGAAGGTACCTGGGAATTAGTTTGACCAAATTACATTTGTGCACTTATGAATATGTGACAATGAAGCTGAATATTATGTACAATTGTAATGCACTAGTAAAAATGATCTTAATAAAAATGAAAGGGAAAAACTAAATTTCAATTTCTATGCCAGTTATCAGATGTGGCTTTACTGCATAAATTGGGTCTCTGCCATAATGAATTGTCAAAAATTGAGGCATAAGCACTCCAGTGCCTTGCAGAAGAGCCAGGAAATTGGCCTGGAGGCAGTGAACTTCTTGGACTTATCTTCCTTGTGGAAGATAGAAAATTAAGACCCTTGTCCAGGAATATCTAGAAGAATTAGAAAAACAAGCACAACTTTGATGGTTCCTAGTTCAGAACTCATGAGTCAGGGCAGTAGGGAGTGTTGCAGCTTATAGTGAGTGGGAGGAAAGATAGAAAGGTCTGTGTTTCACGCTGACCTGCCTCCTTCTGAGTGACACATTTTCTTTAGACATGCTAATAGAATTTTCTCTTGTGGAAGAAAAAGTTTAAAAACAGCCATAACAACAACAAAAGCACTGTATCAAGTTCGGATTTTTAGAAAATTGACTGTGAGAAGTCATTACATCCATATATCTATACACATACACACACATACATACACTACTGTGGAGCTAAAGGACAGTTGGATGGTGATTGTAATGTACATAACTGAAAAATAAACTATCAAGTTTTTTAGCTTTGGAGTAATTCTCTTCTTGTAAGTTAGGAGCTTAGTGAAAAATGGGTGCAATGTAAAGGAAAGAAAAACATATTCATGTTGGAATAATTTATTTTCATTAGTTTTTAATCTTGTTGACAAGTATTAGATATCATGGTTGAATCTTAGTTGGACAAAAACTTTTTAGTTCTTCCACTTGACTGCTCATTTTTCTTACCTCCTCAGTAATCACAGAGTTAGAAAAGGCATCCTTATTTCAAAGTTCTTTGAGGCCTTTTCTGTTCTTAGTTTGGGTTACTCACATGACAGTGAAGATACACCAGTTGGCTAAGACATCACAAAATTCTCTCCTATCCATGTCCTCCTGCCATCAGGGCAGGATTGTGTGTGACTAAGGACGAATGATACTAGCTGGGGACATAGCTCAGTGGTAAAATATAAGCCTTGCATGCCAGAGGCCCTGTGTTCAATTTCCAGTAGGTCAAGTAGACCTCCTGCTAGTCCAGTGCCTAACAATATGAAGAAATTAAAGAAGAAGATGCTATAGTAAAAAGTGATATTGGAGAATTCAAGCTCTGGAATCAGAGTAGATTAGAATTTCTCAATCTGTATAAAGGGAGATAATATGAGAACTCATCACATAGAATTATTGTGGTGAGAAAATGCATGTGTAATGCCTTACTGTTGTATCTTGTTTCCAAAATGCCATACATCATTTTATTCCTTCCTCTTCAAGCGAGGATGGCTTGTGACTGCAAAGTATGGTAGAATTGGGAAATAGAGATGTTGCCAATTATGTGATCAACTTTTAAAAGGACTGAAAGTTTTCTTTCCTCTTGATACATTTTCATTTGGGATGCTGCCTCTCAGAACTTATGGTTTTGAGTATCACCATTGTTTTGAATATAATTCACTTAATTGTACATTTATAGAATTTAAGTTTTAGTGATCTGTCTGCTTAATAACCAGTTCACAAAATTCACCCAAATTTGTGACAGGTTCCCATGAGCTAGTACAAACCAGCTCTAATACCTCACATCTGGATCTAGCACAACACTGAGAGAGGTCATGGGTAGGGAATGTAGAGAATCCCCAATGACCAACACATGATCAGCATCAACTAACAGCCATGTGAATGCACCATTTTGAATTTGCAGCCCAGTCCAAGCCTTCAGATGTCTCTAGCCCCAGCTGCCACCTGACTGCAGCTGCATGAAAGATCCCAAGTTAGAACTGCTTGGTTGAATCTAACAACAGAGCCATGAAAGATAATAATTAATGTTGTTTTAAGCCATTAATTTTTGGGGTGATTTGTTATGTAGCAACAGGTAACTAGAACATTAACTCCCAGAAATTAGTCAGTAATAATGCATGTTATTATTATTGTTTTGATTGTTGCAATTATTGGCAGATTAATTGTAATGCTATTTCAAGCAATATTCTGCAACTAATAAAAGAAGATTCATTTTATTGCTTTTGTTTGGGGACCTAGAAGTTTTACACAATAAATATAATTTAGCCTGAATTTTCCTTAAAAATTGTATAACTCCAGATGAAAAGTCTGTAATTACTTTCCACAGAATAGTTAGGCTCCCATTGGCCTGTTGTTTACTTTCATTCTGCCACAGCAGGGACTATGTGAAGTGAAGTCACACCACTGAAGCCTGAAGAATCATGACTAGGCAGCTCCAGCTATTCCATTTTCAACAGAGCTTGAACAATTTAACAAGAGCGGTAGAAAGATCCATGAATAAGCTCACCATATTTTTCTTCTATCCCTAGTCTTATAGTTTTCTCAATTTGTTTAACTGACCCAAGGAAAGATATTAATAGGGACAAAATATTAGTTTAGAAACAACAACATACTTAGTCAATGTCCCCCCTTGTTCCCATCTCCTCAGGGAGAACCCTGTTTTTGCCAACTCAGTTCCTACATAAGCCACTGTGGAGTGGGGGCTATTAAGAGGACCTCAGTTAAGTTTGCTTAATTTACATTGATGAGGGCAGAGTTGTTTGTAGAACAAAAAAGAATAGAGCAAGAAAATGGGGGAAAGGGAAGAGAGGGAAAAACACTCTATGCTAGCTTTGTTAGGGGTAAAGTTATAGGGAGCTTGATTGAGGTAGGGGAGAGATTTGAAGAGATGCTGACGACCATGGAGGACCATAAAAGAGAGGGAGGGAGGGATGAAGAGAGAGAGAGAAACAGAGAGCGAATTTTATGTGATATTATATTGTTTTCTCAAACTCAGTTGTTCATATGCAATATAACTGACTCAAATATGTCACAACTGTAATCTCTGGAAATTTTCCTAACAGACTATATTTTTCAATTGTTTTCCTTGTCTGTTTTATGTATGCATATTCTCTTATGCACCTAGACCAGTGCTTTTCACGAAATAGATACTAATTTAATATTTCCTGAATAAATAGTAATACTCTTTCCCAAAAAAGTAGGTGATAATTCAGACAAAGCAATTATTTTTAAAAATTATGAGATAGTTAAGGATACTTGAACACTGATAGGATATTTTATATTTGTAAATATTACTGCAAATTTTTCAACTTAAATTTAATTTAATTAGAATCATGGTTAAGACAAATGAAAGTTTTTTTAAAAGATATATCCTAGTTATATTGTTACATCATCTGCATGCATGACTATGTAACAAAAAATCCCATTTTTATCAATAATTATAATGCACCAATAAAAAACACAGAAAAAAAGACATGTATTAAATTATTTATGAATGAAATGATATGACGTCTAGGACTTGCTTTAAAATAATCTGGGCTTAGGAAGAATGTGGGTGAGACAGTAGATAAAATAAGATTAGCCTCTCATTGACAATTGTTGAAGTTGGGTGATTCATGAAGTACATGGAGATTCATTATACTATTCTTCTACTTTTGCGTATGCTTCAAAATTTCCATTATAAAAAGTGAAGAAAAAAGTGGGCGGGTTAATGTCTATTGTTCTTACTCTCTAGAAATTCTAAATTAATTGCTTTTTATTATGTGGTCCATATTTGCTTTTTTGCTGTGTGGGTTGCTGGTTCTTGACAGGAAATTGTACTCATTACCCTTGACTGGGAAATCATAGACTGTGTTTGCTGATATTTGAGTACAGATGGAATCTACTTAACTCAATCCAACACTTCGAAGTCTTAACTTAATTAGAATCAAATTTCAAGATAATTCTTCAGTGACAAAAAGATTTCCCTAGTGCATTTAAAAAAGGGTTTTAATGAATAAAAACTTGATTTGTGTGCCACTTTCTGGGACTATATTTGCTGTAGAAATTGAGATACAATGTTTCCCTTCTGCAAACTTTGTTACTTTGGCATGTATTACGATTTTACTGCCTTTATTTTTTAAAGGGAAGGAAGCAGACCAGCATGGTCCAAAACTAAGTATGATAATGTAGATGGTGCATTTCTGTTTTGCTTCCCCAGAGAATGCAGATGATGTTGCAGAACACATTTTAAATCTGATAAATGAATCTCCACCTCTGGATGAAGAAGAGACGAAGATTATTGTTTATAAAGTAGCTGAGATTTCAAAGTGTGATGAGATAAGTATGAACCTAACCCAGATTATATTACAAATAATCAATGCTGTTTTGGAAAAGCAAAACGATTCAACCTCCAATCTACATCAAGTAAGCAATGAGTAAGTACTAATGCTTTGGTAAATTATTTCACATAATTTAAGTGACATATTATTACTTCCTTAGCCTACAGTCCTCAACAGTTTTATGCATTGAAAGCTGATTTAGTACAGCACAGTGAGGTCATTTAACTCTAATCCCAGTTGTGAAATAGTGAATTCAAAATTGAATTGAGTCTTCGTCATAACAACATCTTTTCAAGTAAATAGTGACTCCAAACTAAACTTCCAATTTATTTCCCCATCATGCCACTCCCCCAGGGTTCTGCATTTCTTTAAAATGTACCCAACCAGTGCTAATCTGAAAAGTGGGAGAATCATGCTATTTACCACCCTATAGCTCATAGCCAATAAAATAACATGACTCTTACATGAGGCACTCTATATGTATTTTAAAATATCTTAAATATTCTGGTGGAAATCCATCTACTTGTCTCCATCTCCAGGCCTAGTCTTATTTCTCTTCCTTGATCATCTAAAATAGCCTCCCAATTGATCTATCTGCCTGCACTCTTGCCCCTAACAGTCCATCTTCTATGTAATAGAGTGATCTTTCAATGCATTTATCATATCATGTCATTCTTTTGCTTTTAAACCACTAGGGTGCCATTTCATTACATGCCAAATAAAATAAAAGCCAAACTTCTCATAAGGTCTATGTGCCCTGAAGGATCTGGATTTACAAACAACAATTTCATTTATTTTTCAAAATGATCTTTTGAGATGTGTGATTACATCTGACTCTATAGAGGAGAAAACTGAAGCTCAGTGAGGTCACTTTACTTGCACACACAGTTAGAAATTAGAGGAGCTAACGTGTAGATCTCAGGCTGTCTTGTTCCCAAACCAGTGCTCTTGTCTAATAATTCTAATAATTCCTGAGGAATATAAAGATGGGGATTAAAATACAGTCTCACAATGAGGATATCTTGTCAGGGGATGGGTTTTATATTTTAAAAAAGTAAGAAGACTCTTCTTTACACTTTCCTGATAGAATTCTGAGGATAATTGAGCGTGCTGGTCACAAGATGGAATTTTCTGGGAGGACAGCAAATCTTACTGTGACCAGGTTGGCTTTGGCTGTGCTACGGGTGGATCATACTTTCAAAGGTATGGCCTTTGGCATCCCCTCCTATGAAGAAGGTGCAGACCCTCAGGTGAGTGCAGCTTTGGAAACTGAGAACCAATTGGTCACACACTCTTTCAAGTCTTTATTTACTTGTTAGGAGGGAAAGAAAAGAGGGCACTGTTTTTCTTGTAGTTCTGGGAATGGAACCCAGGACTTCATGCATGCCAGGCAAGCACTCTACCACTCAGTCATATCCCCAGCCCTGCAGGACACTCTTAAAGTTTAACTCTTCAGGAGACCTTTTAAAAATGCATATATCCCAGAAAAGATTCATATGTAACCCTCAGGGGGCTACCATCTTAATTGAAATGGTGTCTGTGAGATGTGTGATGATGCTACTTTTAGCCCTGTGACCTGACATTATCTCAAATGTCAGTTTATTATTTTCCATCATTTATGGAACATTTATTATATGTTGAGCATTGTGTTACTGTTTATAGATGAGGAAACAGAGAAGTTAATTTGTCTAAGGAAATACAGCCTCATGACTAAGTCAGAATCCAAATCTTTCTGTCTAGCTTTAGAATCTGGGCCCAGAATATTTAATACAAAGAAATTATAAATGTTTGAAGTGATAGATATGCTAATTACCATGATTTTATCATCACCTGTGTATCAAAATATCAGACTGTGCCCTATAAATATGTACAATTGTTATATATTTGTTATGAAAAAATAGTCTGGTCCCTTTTTACTATATCATACTACCTCAGCATTTGGCAGATCATAAGCCACCAATACCCCTGAAAAAAATTTGAATGACCAGACATTTTTTATACTTATGATAAAACGTATAAATCCTGAGTTTACATTATAATCTGTACAACCCCAAACCCTACCAAGATATAGATATCACTATCACTTCTGAAAATCCCTTATGCTCCTCCCCATTCAATCCCTGAAACTGCTACCTCCAGGGTCACCACTGTTCTGATATTTTCCCACCATAGATTATTTCTGTTTTAGAACTTTATACAAATAGAATCATTATAATATGTATTCTCTTCTGTAAGACTTCTTTCATGTAGCAGTATGTTTTTTTTTTTTGAGAGTCACCCCTTTTCCCATAGTTTTTTCCTTTGTATTTCTGAATAATATTCCATTTAATATATATGCCATATATTGTTTGTCTATTCTGTTGATGAACACTTGCATTGTTTTCAATTTGGAGCTATTATGAACAATGCTATTATGAGCATTTGTGTAAGTCTTTGCATGGACATATGTTTTCATAATTCTTGAATAAATACCTAGGAATGGAATGGCTGGCTCACTGGTTATATGTTTAAATTTATAACAAGCTGTCATATTGATTTTTAAAGTGGATAATGATGTGGAGTAATTGTTTATTTTTGTAATGACCATTCATACATCTTCTTTAGTCAAATACTGTCAAAATCCTTTGCCCATTTTTAACTTGGCTTGTTTACCTTCTTGTAGAGGTGTAAGTATTTTCAATATATTCTGGCTCAGGTCATTCATCAGATACAAGTTTTGAAAGTATTTTCTCTGTATCTTGCCTATTTTTCTTCTCAGTGGTGTCTTTCAATGAGCCGAAGTTTATAATTTCATAAGGTCTCATTTATAGTTTTTTCTCTTATGAATAACCATATATTGTTTACCTAAATATCCTGTCTGCCAGCAAGTCATGATGATATTCTTCTATGCTTTCCCTTAACATATCTTTGGTTTCAGCTTTTATATTGAGAATGATAATCCTAGTTAATTGAATGAATGTTTGTACAAGGTGTGAGTTAGGGGTTGGGGATAATTTCATTCCATGTGGATATCTAGTTTTTCCAGCTCTATTTATTGAAAACTTTCCCTTTCCCATTGGCTTGTTTTGGTACTTTGGCCAAAACAAAAAACAAACAAACAAACAAAAACCTCAAACTAATAATTAAAAAAATAACAGTTATGTAATGTAGGTCTGTTTCTAGCTTTTCTTTTCTGTTGCATTTATATTTTGTAGATTCTGTCTTGGTGTTGTCTTCAGTCGTGAAGTCAGTAGTGTGAGTCCTTTAACTTTGTTCTTTTTCAAGATCACTTCAGCTGTTCTAAGCCTTTTTCATGTCCATATGAATGTTTACATTTGTTTATCAATTTGTGTAAAAAGTTTACTGAGATTATGATTGGGATGGAAGCTATTGATTAATTTTGGAAGAATTTATATCTTAACAACATTGAGTTTTCTAATCCAGTAACACCCAGGTCCACTAAAATTTCTCTCAACACCATTTTATAGTTTTACGTGGAGAGGCATTGTATGATTTCTTTGATAAATTTATTCCTATTTTATGGTTTTTATGTTATTGTAAATGAAATAGTTTTAAAAATTGACTTACTAATTATTTGCTGAATAAATACCTGGGAATAATTATATATAATTATATATAATTTATGTAGCCTATGAATTTGCTAGATTCACTTTTTTGTTATAGTAGTTGTTTTGTAGATTCCTTAGGACTTTAAATAAAACAACACTATCTGACAATAGAGAGTTTTATGACTTCCTTACTGATATTTATTTCTTTTATTCCTTTTTCTTTTGGGATTATTTTGATGTCTAATACTTCTGGTAAGATATTGAATAGATGTGGTTAAAGTGGGCATCTTTGTCTTTTTTTTTGACATTAGATGAATAAATTCACTATTTTACCATTACCTTTATGTTAGTCCTATTTTTATTTTTAAGATGTCATTTATTTGACTGAAGAAATTACTATTATTTTAACCTGGGGTCTTGCTATGTTGCCCAGGCTGACCTTAAACTCCTGGTTTTTTAAAATAATTTCTGTCAGACTTTGGATTTAGGCTGGGCTCAGTGCCATATGTGTGTAATCCCAGCAACCTGGGAGGTGGGAGAATCACAAGGTTGAGGCCAGACTCAGAAATTTAGAAAGCCCCTGTCTAAAAATAAAAAGCCCTGGGGGATATAGCTTGGTTGTAAAGCACCCCTGAGTTCAATCCCCAGTACCAAACAAACAAACAAACTTTAAGATCTTGCCAGCTTTATAAAAGTGAGTTGGGAAATGGTCCCTGTTCTACTTTCAGAAGTACTTTAGGAAACATTGGTGTTATTTATACACTAAATGATTGATGAGATTCATTCTTAAGGAAAATTAAAATAAAATCATTGGTGATATTAATCATACGGAATGGTGGGTTTCATTGTGACATGTTTCTTCTACATAAAAGCATAGTTTGATCCATTTTACTTCCCAGTATCTTCTCTACCTCCTCCCAACCTGAACCCATTCCTCTACCCTAATGTTTCCCCTTTTACTTTCATTGCATCTCCCCTTCCTCCTGCCCCCCCCAACTTCTTTATGGGAAATCATTAATAGCTAATTCAAACTATTTTTAAATATTTTTAAAATTGTACTCGGACACAATACCTTTATTTTATTTATTTTTTATGTGGTGCTGAGGATCGAACCCAGCACCTTGCACATGCTAGGTGAGAGCTCTACCACTGAGCTACAACCCTAGCCCTGATTCAAACTATTTAATGGATATAGTGCCATTCAGATTTTCTAGTTCATCTTTTGTCTGATTTAGTATTTATTTATTTATTTATTTGATTTATATATGACAGCAGAATACATTACAATTCTTATTACACATATAAAGCACAATTTTTTCATATCTCTGGTTGTATACAAAGTATATTTACACCAATTTGTGTCTTCATTCATGTACTGTGGATAATAATGATCATCACATTCCACCATTATTAACAACCCCCTACCCCCTCCCTTTCCCTTCTACCACTCTGCCCTATCTAGAGTTCCTCTATTCCTCCCATGCTCCCCCTCCCTACCCCATTATGGGTCAGTCACTTTATATCAGAGAAAACATTCAGCATTTGGTTTTTTGGGATTAGCTAACTTCACTTAGCATGACATTCTCTAATTCCATCCATTTACCTGCAAATACCATGATTTTACTCTCTTTTAATGCTGAGTAATGTTCCATACTTGGAGTCTTTATTTATTGTAGGATTTTATTCTCTAAAGGGCAGGTAACAAATATTTTTGGCTTTGTATGCCATAAGTGGTCTCTTTCTATTGTGGGTTCTTATTTATTAGTGTTTGTTTCTCTTCTCTTCTCTCTCTATATTGTACAATCTTGAAGCAATGAAATATAAAGTCCATTTTTACTTCAAGGTGATATAAAGGCAAACCTTTGGTAAGATGTGGTCTTCTGACTAGTTTGTCAACCTCTGATGTATAGTGTTAATTCCTCTTTCATTCAGAGCTTTAGATGTCCTTTATAGCATTAGTTTCTGTCCACCATCAGGCAAACAGCGTGAAAACAGACAACTGACCCTGTGATGTTACCTTTTCTCAAATGTCTACTCTTCTCCAGATTTTGTCTGCTTTTGTTCATTTTCCAGTGACTTCAAGCCATTGTTAGTTTATATAGTTGTTATATGTAGTGGGCATCAAATCTGTTAAGAGCTGCTTAGCCATAATAGAAGCAGATGGTGACTTCCCATTGTATTTTATTTACATATATAATTTTTTATTATAAAGTTGGTGAATAAATCAACTAACCTAAATCACACTCTTGGTACCAAACTGTGTACATTTTGAAGCTAAAACATTACCTTTCTGTGATACTTGATTGCCTGAGCAGAGATCATTTGTGTTAGGGAAGAAGGAGCCATTTATAGCTTTTGGTTTCATAAGTCATTTTTAGAAATATTGTAAAGTTTCGTACTCCCATTATACACCAACTAGGTAATAGCTTCTTGAGAGGGAGCATAGATAATAGAAAAAAATGTTAAACTAAAATCATATGTATCTTTGTTCAGCCACATCCTAGCTTTATGATCTTGGACAAGTCACATAACTTGTTTGAACCTCTGTTTCTTGTTATAATACAAGCATGCTTAAACAAGGGTGCTCATGAACCCTGTTTTTCTCTGGGAGAGAACAGGTTTACAACTGTGTTTCCAGTGTAATTTTTGATAAAGCCCCTTTTATGCCTTTTTTTTCTGAAGCCACAAGCTTCTCTGACTTTTTTCTGCCTCACTTTTAATGAGAGTGTTGTTCAACAAACTATTGGCAAGTGCCTAAAGCCATTGGCTGATTTTTGTCGTTGTTTTGTTTTCATTTTAAGAACTCTATGTGGGAAAAGAGGCCTGATTTCCAAGACTGGACTTTATTTCTGAGAATCAGAATAGATCACCTAATTTGTCATTCCTCTTCCCACCTCTGGTATTACCCAGGTGGAAGTGGGTTAAGGAGAGAGAAGCTCAAAGATAGGCTTGGAAAGGAAAAAGCTCTCTCTCTCTCTCTCGCTCTCTCTCTCTCTCTCTCTCTCTCTGTGTGTGTGTGTGTGTGTGTGTGTATCTACATCTGTGTGCACCAGGATCATGTCTTGGCTTGTGGTGTGTGTGTGTGTGTGTGTGTGTGTGTGTGTGTGTGTGTGATAGCTTATGGAGCTAGTTCCACCATTCTGCTCCCTGTGGGATGCTCTGGGGCAAGTGCTGGGGTGGGGGGTAGGAAGGCTTTCATCCTGATAGATGAAGACTCCAGCTTTCATTCCCTGATTGTTCTTGGCAGATCTACCTGGGCAATGCCCCTCTGGAGAGGGTTTTGGCTTCCATATATTTGCCTAAATCACTGAGGGAGAAAATTCCTCTTAACAACTTACAAACCATCTTGTTTAGTTTTTTTGGCCAAACTTCACTTTTTAAGGTAAGTTCTTGCCTCTGGGAACTGTCATGAAATGACATATGGTGACTCATTGTAATTATGAACTCCTGCTATTTTCATGATGTTCTGTTTATTTTAGAATATGTTCTCTGATTGATTCCACAAGTCTTGCAGCACAACCCCTGGCTCTCAACATGAATCAACATCTACTTTAATGATGTTCTACAGTTTTTAATTTTCACAGCTTCTCAGCTTTGGAAGCGACCTTAAGGATTATTTGGTGACCAAACAGAGGCCTCAAGATGTTTCAAAGCTATAAAAGAACAGCACGTTCTCCTGATGAAATGCCCTTTCGGCTTGCTAGTGCTTTCTTCCCAAATCTTTCCTGGCTTCTCAAAGCCAACATGCCTACTCTTCAGGGCCAATTTATTTGAAACTGGGTGGTGTCCAGCAGGATATTTGCCTGCAGACATTTGTTGATCTTTTTCTCCACCTCCAGAGAACCTTCTCTGAGGGCTTCAGCTCTCACCTACTAAAAACACAGGCAGTATGATGTGGTGGTGAAGAGCATGGGCTCAGGTGCCAGGCTGGTAGAACTTGAAGCTAGCTATGCCATATCTGCTTGTGTGACTCCATGTGCCTTAGTTTCCTCCTATGGGTAATAATAATAATAATTTGAGAGCTGTTGAAGGACTAAAGGAGTTAATGTGTATAAAATGCTTACAACATTGCCCAGTACATAATAATCATCACTGTGGTTGCATTGCTATCATTATTATACTACCTTGGGTCTGTGCCTAACAAACGGCTCATTTCTTCAGGCCACTTTTATCTCATCTAGCTGTTGGGAAGACAGCCATCAGAGTTTGCATGTTGTTGAAGACAATGACTAGTATTAATTGTTAATATTTACACTTATTATCTCATTTTATTCTCATAAGAAGCTGAGACTCAAATAAGTTAATTAATTTTGCCCAGGATCACACAGCTAGGAAGTGGCCTATCTAGGAATCAATCTCAGGCTGTCTGATTCCAACGTTCATGTATTTAAGAGGCTAATACATTAATTTGCCCAAGTGTGCTTGTATTTCTAAGGAGGTTACTCAAAGGAATTAATTTCTAATGGTCAAATATTCACAGAGTTATTGTGGGGATGATGGGGAGAGATGGTACTGGGCCAATTCAAAATATACCGCATACTCATACTACCTACCAATTCTGATTTACCACATCACCTCTAAGTCTGTAAAACATTTTGTTCCCCTGAAATTCTGCAGCCACTCTTCCTTCACTCTAAATTCTCTTTGGTTCTATGAGATTAGCTCAAATCTTACCCAGGACATCTGCCTAGAGTTAGTGAGCCCCTCCCTGCTCTTTCCTCTGCCCCCTGGAGAAAAACTTTTGGTGGACAAAATTTTTTAATAAAAGTTTGAAATGTGGTCTGATCCTTTTGATAAACCTGTCAATTTTCTGTACCATCTGAGATGCTATTATTTTGGTCTTAATTTCTCATTTCTTCAGAAGGCTGTGCTTGTCTATTAGAATAGGAGATAAACTTGCTTTGCATAGATTTCACACTTAATAAGAAATTTTTATTCACTAACGCCTTCTACCGAAATGGATTAAAGATCTTTGCCAAAATTAGCCTGCAGACGTCATAGTGCCAGATGAAGAAGGATTAGAACTAGCTTGCCATCAAATTCAGGGCTGGAAGGGCCCTCAGAACTCATGTAGTGTCCTATCCCCTTATTGTTCCAATGAGGACATGGAGACCCAGAGAGAGGAAGACACTTGCTAAAGGTGACTCAGTTTACTAATTTATTCACTCATTTATTCATTCAGCAAATATTTATTGAATTCCTACTCTGTGTCTTAAGTGGTGCTACGTGCTGGGTATATAAACTGAGCAAGAGAGATGTGATGTTTGCCCTCAAAGAACTTCCAGTATGATGAAGGAGAGCAGAGATCTGAAGTTTCCAGCACTGAAGGGGGGACCTGAGGCTGAGATCTGTGCTAATGGTTGTTGGATACTGAGAGCTTACAAGAAATGTCACCTTTTACCTATCTTTTCTTTGAGTTCCTGAATCTGACAGCCTTGTTTTTACACTGATTCCTGTAAAATCTTTTGATCAGAATCTTAACTGTCATTACAACACATTACCTTAGAAATTGTTGAAAAGACACCACTCCTGAACATCATGTACTTCCTCCTCCACTCCTCTACTAGCTGCAGTTCTCAGAGAGAGGAAAAGGCACAAGCAAGTGCAATGTGACATAGGGACTCTAGGGCTGTAGAAGAGGGTCTCTACTGTCATTTGGAAGAGCAGGAATGGCCTGGTGTAAGAGAGCTCTCAGCTCACACCTGAGACTACAATAGAAGGTAGAAGATGAAAGATGGTGAAGAGGGAGGATGTAAAAAGGAAGGAGAAGTGCTTCAGTCAGAGGGAATGGATTGTTTCTTCCCCCAGCATGGCCACCATTTTATAGTTAAAAGAAATGAAGACAGAGAACAGGTTAATTAAGTCTGGGGCTGTAATGGGTGTCTCTTTGGCCTTTCCACCACAGAAAATTGTATCTCTTAGACTAAGTTGGGAGGATAATTTGAGATCATCTGGTCTATCCTCCTTCTTCATGTGACCAGTGGCCCAGAAGGAAGAGTGCCTTCAGAGGAACAAGGGGGCTTGGGCTAGCTTTTGGTCTTGCCAGTGTCAGTCAGGTCCTTTCCAACGACATCGTGTTGCTAATACACCTCTACATCAGGCTGTCCCAGGTGTTTCTACTGAAAACAGAATACTTAGCCATAAGATTGGTTCGGATGAATACCTCAGGTCATAAACAGGAAGTTAGTAGGTTCCTGGTGGACATACACTGCATTTACAATTACCCAGATGTCAGAAGCTGCAGGGCTCAGGTTGGGTAGGGAGAGGGGGCGGAACATTATTTCTTCAAAATTATGAAGGCATGGCATCTTTTAAAAATGGCCTAGCAGGTTTTTCATGGGATATCTTTGGGGATCACCTCCTCCAGGCTTTCTTGGCAAGTCCTTAGAGGATTTGCTGCTTCTACTATCCAGAGATAAGCACTGGCCCTATAACTAACTGGTCCATTCACATGTGCTCCAGAAGAGGAATACTTTCAGCTGGAGCCTTAGCCTTTGGAAGTTTGGCCTTGTTAATTAGAAAGCCCTATATCTCAATAGGTACATTCTAGTTAATTGTCTTTAAACAAACATTATCTCTGTCCTATCATTCACAAATTTGTGTGACCTTTGTACATATAGGCATTGAGCTTGTCTAAGCCTCAATTTATTTGAAAAAAAATGTCTGTCTATATGATGTCCATGAAGACCAAAGATAGTAGATAGTGTAGAAAGCACTCAGCAAAGTATCTGACTCATGGTGAGCCCAAGATAAAGTACCTACCATGCAGGGAACACTGGGACACACAAAACCTGGACTATGGTCTCAGAGCTCATGGTCCTCAAGGGAGAAGAACACTATCCTCAGAGACTCATTCCAAGCTGGCTGTTGATCAACCTATTTCCATCTCCAGTGAGGATAGAACAGGATGTGGTATATAACTAACTCATGAGGTATTTAGATTCCTTATAAGGGATGTGCTCTTATAAAGATGGTTGAGATTTAGAACTGGATGAGTTATGAAATGTAAGGATCTGGAGAGCTTTCCAAGTTGATAATAGTTTTATTTTGTTAGCGCAGTGCTAAGTAGCAGGTACAAAACCAAAACTGGTTGGATAGATATTTGGATAGATAGATGAATTAATGTATTGTTCCATCTTGGTATAATGACCACCTTATGTGAAGTCAGGAGATGAGCTGAATGATCTCTAAAAATTCACTATCAGCTTGTAATTTTATTTTCCACATTTTCTGTACCCAATACTGCATGTAGTAGATCACAAGTTCTAGATTGATAATAAACATGTAAAACCTTAGAAATTCAGGACCTAAACTTCTCTTCTTTATGTTTCATCTACAGATAAAAAATGTCATGAAAAAATTAACCACATATGTTATGAGTGCTAGCATTTCAGATATGTCCATTCAAAACTTGGCTGATCCAGTGCTCATCACTCTGCAGCATATTGAAGGAAATTGGGTAATGCCCATTTTTATCTCAGAATCACATGGCCTCAGATCTCTTCCTTGATTTTCCTGTTAAAAATAATTTTCTTTTTTAAAATTTTTTAATTTGTAGATGGACACAATGCCTTTATTTTATTTATTTTTATGTGATGCTGAGGATCAAACCCAGTGCCTTGCACATGCTAGGCAAGCACTCCACAACTGAGCTACAACCCCAGCCCCTAATTTTCTAATTAACAGATGTGATTCAAAGATTTAGTGAAGATTATCCCATTCCAGGTATCAGAGGTGTGTTGTAATTGGGGACTTCAAGAAGTAACACCTTATCCCAAAGATATAGTAAATGGTGGGCATTCTATCACTGTGACAGATTGGCAAGGCAGTGACTATAGATAAGTGGATGTAATGGTCATCCCATCACACTAAATGACATTTAATTTCATTTATTTTTAAGTGAGGCAAACAGCTTCATTCAAAATAACTGAATATTTGTATTCTTCAAATTTCAATGAAGAGCATTAAAATGTGTATTAATTATCACCAAAGGACTAAAACCATAGTCATATGGCATAACATAAGGCATATATTACTAAATGATCAAATTTAGCCTTAGAATAAGAATGAATTACTATTTCATTCTTTGATGTTAATGTGTGTCCAGTGTGAAGTCTTAATAGCCTCCTTCATTGCCAATCTACAAGACCATATGGTACAACATATTTTAACTAGTCTTGATTCTAGAAGAGGAGAAGAGAAGAAAGAGTAGGAGAGAGAATTTTAAAAAAAACATACCAAAAGAAATATGTTAATTGGGTAAGATCTCTCAATTTGGACTCGAGCTACAATTCTCAAATTGTCCCCAGCAATTAATTATTCCTTCCCTCCAGTTTCCCAGAGATTGTGGGTGCTGGCAAGGCCTAGGAATGTTCAGTAGGTCTAATGAAGAGGCAACTCAACCTTGTGTCCATAAGGCATGAATGACCTCAACTGTGAGCCCTGAGTCCCACAGCTATAAAGAACACCAGTACTAGCTGGGCATGGTGGCACATGCCTGTAATCCCAGTGACTGGGGAGGCTGAGGCAGGAGGATTGGAAGTTCAAAGCCAGCCTCAGCAACTTAGTGAGGTACTAAGCAACTCAGTGAGACCCTGTCTCTATATAAAATCCAAAATAGAGCTGGGGATGTGGCCCAGTGGTTGAGTGCCTGTGAGTTCAATCCCCCCAAAACAACACCCAGTACATATCAATCCTGCACTTACTAGCCACAGCTTCCTCCTGGGCCTTGCACCAGGACATCATAGAAAATTCCAATGCTACCAACTGTTTACAAGGACACACACGAGATCACCATGTGGTGACCTGGTGTTTTCTCATTTATGAATCCAGAGTTAGATGGTGTTATTCTTTTAAAACCAGTTCACAAATGGCCCCCCCGTGTGTGTGTATGCAAACGTGTATCTACTGTCTTCTAAACTTTTGTGTGTGCTCATTACTGTGTGATAACTCTCATGAGGAAAAATGTTTACCTCTGATTTCTTTTTTCCAGAATTATGATCAGGTTCACTGTGCCTTTTGGGATTTTGAGACTAACAGTAAGTATTTTTGTAAGCAAGCTTTTCCCCAGATCATTTTCATATTTGGCAGTTGAAGGGGGTATTGTGCTGAAGCTACTGTCTTATCAGGCTCTACAGAGCACTCTGAATAACCAAGATACAGGATGTGATTTTTATATCAAATTAGGGTATGGAAATTAAGAGAAAAATCCTTTTAGATGAGACAGTTGAAAAGCATACAGGGGTAAGCAAATTTGGAAGAAAGAAATTTTGAAGGTCCAATGCAGAGTAGCTTAATGCTGTTTAAAGAAAGTTGAGGAATGGTCACGTGGGTCTTAACTTGTATATTCCCACAGGGATTTTCAATGGATACTGTCTCCTTCCTTTTTTTCCTCCTTAACTCTTCCAAACTGACTGTGTGACCTTGGGAAAGCCATTTAACCTCTTAAGATCTCAATCTTTTCCGTCTTTTCATTGAGGAAATGAGACTTTTTGGTTTGTTCCTCAAGGGCCCTTCCTGCTTGAATGAGTATGAGTCTTTGACACCAATAAGAGATGATGAGGATTGTTATTGCTGAATGGATTTCTCTTAGGCTTGCCATATTCACTGGAATCTCTAAAGATAACACCAAATCTCAGAGAATTCCACACAAAATCAATTTCCCCTGAAATGCCAGAGCTGACTATGAGAGGAAGAACTACCTGGGAATTTTTCCTTTTTCAGTATCCTTAGGATTCTGGGAGAAAAGGGAAATTCTCTTCCCTCTTAATTTTCTGGTGTGCAGGAATACTACCTATTTCTGATAAACAGAATTAATAGTTCCCTTTCCTGGTCTCCTCCATGTCTTTCAGGAAGAGAATACTGTAAAGTGATGAGCTTTATTCCCCATAGCTTCAATAAGTTGATCTCTGTATTTACTAATGCCAAATGGTTGGATTACTCCCAGGATATCCTTTGCCCTTGTCTCTCTGCTTAATGGATCCAGAACTTTTGAAATCTATGGAGTTATCATGGATGGACAAATTCAAACTATACTATATGCTATAGTTTATAGTTGCCTTTCTGGTCTAATGCCACCTGGAGGCTCTACTGTAAATCTTCTGTATGACCCAATATTGGCAGGTTATGTCAAATGACAGTTGGTTTCAGAACCCTGAGTATTCTGAGAAGAAATACTCAGTAGGTGTTCAGTAGAACAGAGGCTCTAGTTGGCTCTAAAAAGCTCTAGACTTGGTCTCAAAGCACTTAAGACCACTTGAATTTTGGGTTTACCTGGTTGTTTAGGATGTCTATTCCAGTCCCACCAAGTGTCAGTGTATATTCCACAGGTCCACATCCTTCAAAAAGTTGTAGATCTGCCTATTTACTCTTTATTGGCTATTTTTAAAAAAATAATCGCTCCAACATGGTAGCAAAACTGTTGTTCATGGTTATTAGAGTCTGTCCTAATCTGTAGAGGTATGGCATAAGAACAGGAAATGTGGGAGACAATGAAGTTATGCCATGCACAAAATCCCTTAAAAGTCAATTTGAGGGGCTGGGGTGGTGGCTTAGTGGCAGAGCACTTGCCTATCATGTGTGAGGCACTGGGCTTGATCCTCAGCACCACATATAAATAAATAAATAAAATAAAGGTGCATCAACACTAAAAAATATTTTTTAAAAAGTCAATTTGGTCTTTTAGATTTAATTTAATTTTGGTATTCAATTATACCTCTATCTTGCAGTCTTAACAAACAATACTAATTATAACACACGTTTGGATGGTGCATACAATGAAATGTTAAACATTTCTGAGAAAAAGCAAAACTGCTTTGAAATTCCCTTCTGTCTCCTGCAGATGGACTAGGCGGATGGAACTCATCAGGCTGTAAAGTAAAGGAAACGAATGTAAATTACACAATCTGTCAGTGTGACCACCTCACCCACTTTGGAGTTTTAATGGTGAGTTGTCCCTTCATCATTCCTCAATAGAATTTTGACAACTTTTATTAGATTCAGATCAGTAACACACGTATGAACAAAGTAATGGGGAAAAAAACTCCCTTCTCCCATCTTGTTCATCCAAAGTAGAGAAGATTGAAATAAATATTATCTTTCTCACAAAATGAATGCCTACTTTTCAAATTTCAAACAATACAGAAAAGGTCCTTGTAATTCCCCTCCCAAAAGATTACTGCCTTTAACAGTCTGGTATGTATATGTATATTCATTTAGAATCTTTACTTCTGTGTATATGAATATGTTTTTTTATAAAGTAGGATCAAATTTTTTCATACCATTTTACTGCTTGCTTTTATTTTTTAACCTAACAATATATATTGGACAATTTTCAGGCAAATATTATCCATTTACTTCAATTTAAAAATACCTTTATGGTATACCATTATGTTGATTGAACATGATGAGTTTAACCAGACCCTGACAGGTGGATGTTTTAGCTATTTTTCTCCAATATGAACTTTGGTATAATATACATTCTTATTTATTTTTCTTCCAACATTTGTGAAAGTATTCCTGTAGAATAAAGTAACAGCATTGCTGAATTGAAGGCTATGATCATCAACAATTTTTAATTTTAATAGTTATTGTCAAATTGCAGCATATGTAATATGTATTTTTAAAATGTTTGCAGTGCTTTAACTAGTAAGAGTTAACTGACCAATTTACAAAGCCAGGCTTAAACAATCACTGTTAACTCTCCTAGTTCTTTCAGCTCCCATGATCTTCCTAATATCAACTTGCTGAGTTTTCCCCTAAACCACTCTCAACCAAATGGCTTCTCTACCCACACGTGAATACTTCCTTGGTTTCTTAAGTTATTTTATTAGATAGTGGTATTTTAATGTGTCATATGTGAGTTGTTTCTCCAGCTAAGTTCTTTGAGGGTTGAGAGTCTGTCTGACATTTTATATATATATAATCATTCCTCAATAGAATTTATATATATATATATATATATATATATATATATATATAAATTGACTAACTCTTACTTGTTGAATAGATTTTTTTAAAGAAATTAATATGGTTGAGGATGTATATATATATATATATATATATACACACACACATATATACATATGTATACACATACACATATATACATATACACATATATATACACATACATACATATATATTATTCATATATATATATACACATACACATACATGTATACATGCATATATATATATATATATATATATATAGAGAGAGAGAGAGAGAGAGAGAGAGAGAGATTGATTGATTGATTCCAGTGCCTTAAACATGCTAGTCAATTACTCTATCACTGAGCAACATTCCCTAATTATTTTTTTTAAGAATGTTGATTCAACAAATAAGAGTTATTCAATTGATAATTATCAAATTTTGAGAATTTTTTTTTTTTTTAGTTTCCCCCAAATCAATTAGAGCACTAGAGTAGGAGTCAGAAGACCAGGGTTTATTTCCAGCTCTGTCATCAGCTAGCTTTGTGATCTTGTTTGGGTTGCTTTCTTTGTTTGGAACTTAGATTTTTCTTCTGAAATATAAATGATTTAAGGAGACCAGGGTTTATCAATTTTTTGCTCTATTAATAATTAGTCAAATAATTCTTTCAAAAATTATTTTATTTATTTATTTATTTTGTTGATAGACCTTTATTTTACTTATTTATATATGGTGCTGAGAATCAAACCCAGTGCCTCACACATGCCAGGCAAGTGCACTACCACTGAGCCACAGCCCCAGGCCCCAAATAATTATTTTATTGTGGAAATGTGTTCTGTGTATTTTAAGACATTCAGCAGCTCCTGAGCCTCTACCCCACTACAAGCTCGTAGCACCCTTCCCAGTTGTGACAACCAAAAATGTCTCCAGACACTGCCACATGTCCTAGGAGGAAGGACAAAATTACTTCCAGTTGAGAACTACCAGAGTAGATCAGTACTTCTAACTTTCTGCAAGTCATAAATCACCTTAATCATCTGATGAATGCTATGGACCTTCTTCTCCAATCAATTCATTCATATATTCAAATAATTTTGTGTGTCATTCCAGGTATTTTATGGTCCCTAGATTAAGAAATTACTGGACTATGTGATCTCTAAGGCCCACTTTATCTCTTAATTTTGTGAGTTATTTAAGGTTTAAGGGAAAAGAACATTTTTTTGATGTTCCATGTAGTGTTTTGGGACGCGCAGTTCATGTAATGATTCACTTTGTATCCCAAATTCACATCTATTAGCTTGGTTATATTTTAAGTGTAGAACATGTTAATGACAATGAAACCAAGGACTAAATGTTCTTTCAATGCTGTCAATGTCTCTCCATGTCTTGTACACAGTCAGTTGTACTAGGCACAGTCACCAAACAATACAGGGTCTTATCATGTATTTATTTACACAATCTGGTTGTATAAGAACTATGGCAAATATGTTATACATTCTGGGAATCACGTGTTTGTGAGCACTGGAAGTATTGTCATAAATTTGCTCTGATAGATGTGTAACATACACACATTGCATTCCCTAGGATTTATCCAGGTCTACAGTGGATGCAGTGAATGAACGAATATTAGTTCTTATCACAAACACTGGATGCGGAATATCCTCCATTTTCTTGGGAATTGCAATGGTGACATACATAGCTTTTCAGTAAGTTGATACAGATTTGTTCTGAGTAAGTTTAATTTGGTTTGATAGATGCTGTTGTCATTGTAACCTTGTTAATTTCATGAACAAATCCCAATAGGAAGAGGTCAGATCCATTAGATTATGAAGTGGATAAATTAAAAACAAAACAAAACAACTATCACTTCTAAAAAAAGTTTGAATTGGGCTTTTAAAAAGCAAGAAAGTTGGGATTAGAAAATATTTTTCCACCAGGATACAAGAAGACTAATCGATAAAAGAAAAAGTTGAACTTATACATTTATGATAGCAAAATGTCAAACCACAGTTTGGGAAGAAGATATTTGCAATGCATGTATCTGACAAAGGACTTTCATGTATCTGACAAAGGACTTTCATGCCAAATATATTTAAAACTCTTAAGAATAACAAAAACAAGACAGACAGTACAATTGGAAAATGGGCAAAAGAGTTTAACAGGTACCTCACAAAAGAAATTATCCATGCCTAATCCCAACTTTTGCCTAAATGGCCATTAAGCAAGCATATGACAAGGCTCTCAACATCATTTTTCATCAGAGAAATGTAAATCAAAACCACAATTACCATTAGGCACCAAACAGAATGGCTAATATTGAAAATACTCACCATAGCAGGTATTAACAAGGATGTGGAACAATCGGGACTCTTATATATTGCTTCAGGGAATGCAAAATGGCAGATGCTTTGGAAAATTCTTTAGCAATACCTACTAAAAGATAAATACACATTTAGCCATTGATCCAGAAGTTTTACTCTTAGGTATGTATTCAAGAGAAATAAGTGCATGTGTCCATCAAAATATATGTACAGGAATATTTATAGCAGCTTCAGTCAGAGAAACCCCAAATTAGAACCATCCCCAATGTACATTAACAATTCACTGGATGAATAAAAGGGGCTATCTTTGTAAAATGGAATGCTATATAACAGGAAAAATGAACTACTTTTATACAATATTTAAATAGGGTTGAGCAGAAGAAACCAGAAAAAGAAAAGATAATGTTTTATGATCCATTTCATATATGTGAAGTTTCAAGTGCAGGCAAAAGTAAATCTAGAGGATAGAAGTTGGAATATTAATTACCTCTTGTGGGAGTTACTGAATGTTATGAGGTATTGAAAACATTCTAACTTTTGATCTGAGTGGAAGTTCCATAGGTGTATACAGATGTAAAGAATTTTAAGAATTCACTGAGTGCATTCTTAAAATATGTGCACTTTACAGTTTACCTCAATCTAGAATACCACATTAATAGGAAATAAAAATTCCAAAACTTAATTCAGTAAACACTGACTAGAAGTTGGAAAAAAAGAATCAAAGGAGAAAATAGGTATATTTAATTTTTGAAATACTAGATCAATTTCCACAAAATGAAATTGTGATCTCTTATTGAAACTTAGGGCTATATTTCCATGATTCCAACCATTGCAATGTTTGGAAATATCCAAGTAAATCTATTTTAAACAGTTTCCATAGCCATCATCCTTTTCGGTAATATGCAGATCCAGCTTACTACGTTGGTGATAATGGAATTGTAGTATCTGAGAAACTCTTCTCTTCCTTCTTTCTAAAAGAGAATAAAGAGAAAAGGGATTGCTTAGTTGAGAGAGGCTATTATTAATCCTGTTAATGAAGGTCACTATATTTAGGATACGGTGATTCTATCTGGAAAGATATTGGGGGTACTCTAAAAGTCAGTGTGTGTGTGTGTGTGTGTATGACCATATAATTTACCATACTATATATATATATATATATATGCATATATCATATATAAATAATATAGTAAAATAAGTAATTTAATTTTAATAAGTAGTTCTTTTATTTTTGTAGTACACAGATAAGATGTGGCAATGATTAGTTTAAACTGAAACCGTCACTAACTTAACATTTTTTTTTTTTAGCAAACTTCGAAAAGATTATCCTTCCAAAATCCTGATCAACCTGTGCACAGCACTATTGATGTTAAACCTGGCATTTCTGGTTAATTCCTGGTTGTCATCGTTTCAGAAAGAGGGACTTTGTATCACAACTGCAGTGGCACTTCATTACTTCCTGCTTGTTTCTTTAACTTGGATGGGCCTGGAGGCAGTCCACATGTATTTTGCTCTAGTCAAAGTCTTCAACATATACATTCCATATTATATCCTTAAATTTTGTCTAGTTGGTTGGGGTAAGTGTATCTGCCATTGTTCTTGATGTCTTTGTTTTAAGCCTGTGTGTCTTTCTAATTCTTAGCCTGCTTTGTGCTGCTATAACAGAATACCCAGGAAAATTTATTAACAGATTCTATTTCCTTTCAAAATTAATTAATTAATTTTAACTGGTATATTATAATTGAACATAATAGTGGAATTTGTTCTTTTAATTTTTATTTGTTCTTTTTAGATATACATGACAGTAAAAGGGATTTGTTATATATTCATACATGAACACAATATAATATAATTTAGTCAATTTAATTCCCCAGTACCTCCCTTTTCTCTCCCCTGATCCCCTTCCTCTATGCTACTGGTCTCTTCTATTTTCATGAGATCCCCACATTTTTTTCTTTCTACTTCCACATATGAGAGAAAATATATGATCATTGATTTTCTGAGTTTGGCTTATGTCACTTAACACAATGAGATTTATTTCTTAAATTCTGGAGGCTGGGAAGTCCAAGATCAAGGGGCCTGCATCATAGTAGAAGGCATCACATGGGGGTGGAGGACAGAAGTTACAAAGAAATATCTTCTGCAAAAAATAAACCCATTCCTGCAATTATGGTATTAATCCATTCATGATGTCAGAACCTTTATAATCTTAAGTTTCCACCACATGAACTTTGGAGGACACATTCAACCCATAGCAAGCTCTATTAGGCAATTATTTTGTGGCCAAAATCTGTTAATATCATAGTTAAGGAATTAAGGATAACCTCACTTGTGTTTGAGTGTGAACCTCTTTTTCTGCCTATATTGCTCTATGAATTCAACTTTTAACCTTTATGGTGAGGAGTTGGTGTGCAAATATTTATTGAGTGCTTGCTTATGTGCTGTGCTAAGTGCCAGATATATAAGGGTAAACCTGTCAGATTTTAGTCATCCCTTTACAGAAGTTACAATCAACAAATAATGATGGAACAGCTAACAGTAAGGTAGCTTGTACTTGCACCGGAAGCTATTCTAAGTGCTTTATATGCTCATTTAGTCTTCACAGTATTTATTTTTTTAATATTTATTTTTAATAATATTAAAAATATTATTTTTAAAATATTATTAAAATATAATATTTAATAATAATAATAATACAACTATATCCAAATAGTTGGATGCAATAGTTTTATTTTATTTATTTTTATGTGGTGCTGAGGATTGAACCCAGGGCCTCACACATTCCAGGCAAGTGTTGTACCATTGAGCCCCCACCCCAGTCCAGTCTTCACAGTGTTTATATGGGATGGGTCCATCATTATTCCTACTGAGGACACTGAGAAACAGAGAGATTAGGTAATTTGCCAAAACTCCCTCAGTTAATAAGGACAGAATAGGAATTTGAATTGGGGATTCTGTCTCCATAGATTGGACTTTTAACCTCTATGATCTTGCCATGCCATTTAAGGAACAGAAAAAGGACTTGACATGGGTGAAAGGGTGTCTGGCCAGGTACAACCTGACCCTTTTGACACCTCATTGCTGCTGCCCTTAGAAGAAGCCAGAAATAGAACTCAGCGTGCATATTTTCCTAATATAAATGTCACTATATTGGTTTGCTTTCTTGTATTTCTTTTCAACATAATAGATAGTGAAAAGGTGTTTTGTTTTTGTTTTTGTTTTTTGTACTGGGGATTGAATCCAGGGGCTGTAAACTAAGCTACATCCCTAAACATTTTTATTTTTTATTTTGCAACAGGGTCTTGCTAATTTGGTAAGGCTGACCTCAAATTTGAAATTCTCCCTCAGCCTCCTGAGTCTCTGAGATTACAGGTGTTTACTACCACACCCAGCTTTCCAGCTTTCCTTCCTTTCTCTCTCTCTCTTTGTTTCTTTCTTTTTTTTTTTCTTTTTGTACCAGGGATTGAACTCAGGGGCACTTAACCACTGAGCCACATCCCCAGCCCTTTTTATTTTTTACTTTGAGACAGGGTCTCATTAAGTTGCTTAGAGCTTCAGTAAGTTGCTGAGGCTGGCTTTGAACTCACAATCCTCCTCTCTTAGTCTCCTGAGCCACTGAGATTAGAGGCATGCAACAGCGGGCCCAGCATCCCTCCTATATTTCCAATGGGCATGGTCAGCTCAGCTTCATTCCTATCCTCCCTTGCCTATTCAAAAGAGATTTTGTGTTCAAAAATGTGTTGGATACAGAAGTGATATGTATTAAGTAGGATACATAATGGTACATAGGTAGATAGATTTTATCCCCGATTGACTTTGTGAAGACAATAGCTTCCTAATCAGCTACTCATCCTTTTGATGAGTTCATTAGCATAGTGCATGCTTTCATTGGATAGACAGTCAGTGCTAATATCTACGCTAATGTTAGGTGCAAAGACAAATAGTAAACAAAACATAATCTAAAATATGGCTTCAGTATACTTAGCAATCTCTCAGAAACACAGAACCAAAAGCAGTACATGCACTTCCTTTTGTGTGTCCCTCATCTTGATTCAACCAGAAGATTGAAAAATGTTGTGGAAGAGGCTTCATGAAATGATGAAGTGGTCATAAATTTCCTTCGATCCTGGTTTTCCTTCTTCCTCATCACCACTCCTCCTTGACTCCCTGTGTAGAAGGTCCTCCTTCACTCACTCCTCACATGTGGGTCTTCTCCAGAGATTGTTTCTTGCATCTCTGATCTTCTGGTTCCACACACTCCTAGGGTACAGGGAGATGCAGGGAAGGTTAATGCTTGCACTTGCAGAGAAAAATATCTCGAAGAGTACCAAGTACACATAAGCCAGGGCCAAGCTGAGGCTGAGGCCTGGCAGGTTTTGTAGGTAAAGAAAGATACAATGAATCACTCTTAGACTTATTTTCTTACTTACAAAGACAGCACAAGGAAGAGTAGCTCAAAGTGCCAGCTCCCAAGTTCTTGTCCCACACGCTAAAAACAACACCATCAAGGCAAAGGGAACAGATGACTGCCACACTGAGTTCTGGGATTTCCTGTTACTTAGGAGCCAGTTCTAAACAGAAGCTGTGAGATTTTCTCTTCTGTAGCTCTGTTCTGAGGAGACAGGGTACAAAGTCCCACAATTCTGCAGCACCCAGGCCGGCGATGGAAAACTGTCTCAAGATAGCCTCCCAGGGGATGTGAGTAAGAGATGGCTTTGGAGCACCTCTTCACAAGCTTCCCATCTTCTCTCATTCATGGAGAACCACAGGGCACTCTGCCAAAATTCGAATAAGCTGACATCCAAGCCTTTGCCTAAGTGGCCTATGTGGATACATTGAAGGTCCCCAAGGGAAATAAGTATTAGCATCTGTTTAGATTTGAAGCTGTGTCTTCCTATTGCCAAAGCAACCTGTTTTAAAGGTTCATTCTTTTTTTAATGCCCTGTCCAAACTGGTGAACATCATACTATGTAAAATAAGTCAGACTCAGAAAATCAAAGTTGAATGTTTTCTCCCATATGTGGAAACTAGAGCATAATAAGAGGAAAAAAGTGTGTGGGGGGGTTGAGTATCATAGAGAGGAGTAGAAGATGGAGGTTGACAGAGAGGTAGGAGGGACAGGAAAGGGGAGGAAATGTGGAATAAATCTGACAAAATCATGCTAAGTGCATGCACGTAGTGTATGTAGTGAATTCCAGCTTTATTTGTCTCTATAAAGCACCAAACCAATCTAAATAAATAAAAAAAATAAAGAAGTGAAAGGAAGACAAGCAGAGTAGAGGAAGGAAAATAGAGGGAGGGAGGAGGGGAGAGAAGGGGGGAATGGGTCTGAAATGGAGTAAATTAAATTTCATGCATGTGTGATTATGTCAAAATGAACCCGACTATTACGTATAACTATAATGCATTAATAAAAGAAAAAACTATCCAAAGCAGATTTGTCCATGTTTAAAAAAGAAACAACCAACCAATAGATATATTTAAAAAATAATATATATATCAACTTGAGAACTGCCACTTAATTCCATCCTAAATATGAGGTGTTCCATCCCTCTACCCTCATTCCAGGGGTATCTTTGAAACATGTCTGCATCATACTAGGCACTGTGCTTGGTGTGGACTATATAGATTGGAAGGAGCTGTCCTATTTATCACAGAATAGGATGGTGGAGAATTTTTGCACTCTGGGGTTTGGAGTAGCTTTGGAAAATATCTTACAAAACCCCTAAAATGTGTGTGAGTGTATGCTCTTCATTTAGGAGAAATACTGTTTTAGAAATAAAGAAATCATTTAAGTTCTGCAAATGTACATGAAATTGGATTTTTCAACCCTGTGTCTATACTCACATCACGTTTGACCATTTTAACTGAACTGATTGCTTTATTATAGTCTGGCTGAATTGACTGGTCGTTAACTGGTCGATCTAGTCAAAATGTCAAACTAGTAATGAGTGTGGAAACAGCTTCCCTGTCAAAAAAGCACTGAAGGCTGCAGCTGATTGCCTGTGCCCTTCCTCCAAGGTGACCTAGACAAAAAGATAGTAGGAACTAAGGGGCAGTATTGAAAAGGAAAAAAATTGGCAGCCCATCATTTGAGAAGAAATGCTTGATGCAAACTCGCATTCTGATGAACTAGATACTTCCATTGCCAAGTTGATTTTTTGGCACTTGAGCTATTTTTAATAACCAGTGGGCGTTGTATTGGAGCCATTGGCATGCCATTTAATTTAGCAGATTGGAGAACTCCTAGAAATGTTTAACTTGGAAGAATTCACAAACATTTTGCAAACAATGGTATTTTGATGCCCGCACATCTGTGGCTCATTTAAACAGTATCTTAATATATCATTGCCCACAGTCATTGATCAGGATCCTTCTCCCATGATATAATGGGATCCTTTGGCTTCCTTTCCTACTCTAGGAATCCCAGCAATTGCAGTAGCAATCATACTCACCGTGAGAAAAGATCTGTATGGAATTCTGAGCCCAACAACTCAGTTGTAAGTACCAAGAGCTCTGCTACTTAGGTGGTGGGTTCTGGCCTGGCTGGGTATGGTGGGATGTTCTCAGCTTGGGGCTTGGCCTTGACACTGGATTCAGGGAGAACTTAGCCTCAGCCTTTCTATCCTGGACACAGTCACAGCCACACTCAAGGAATGGTTAGCTACCTAGGCTCTGTACGACCTTGAGCAAGTTACCAAATCTCTTACTTTTAATCTCTTCTGGAAAATTGGAGTAATAATGTTTGCTGTCAATGTCATGTGCAAATTAAAATGAAATCATATATATGTATATGTGTGTATATATATAAATATATATATATATATAATATAAATATATATGTGTGTATATATATATATATATATATATATATATATATATATATATATATATATATATATATATATTTGCTCAGCCTGTTGCCTGATCCATAGTAAGTGTTATATAACTGGAAGCCATTGTGATTATAAAACTCACAGACCACTGGAAAGATTTAGTGGCCATTATAAGGAAATACTGAGGTAAATTGGAAAATATTTTCTACCTTTCAACAATAAAAATCTTCCCTGAAGAAGATAGCAAACAAAGCTTTTCTTTGTAAATTGGCTCAACTTCATTGTTCTCTTTTCTCTCCCTCCCTCACCCCCTTTCTCTTTCTTTCTTTCTTTCTTTTTTATTTGATTATAAGCCCATCTCTTTAATTCTCTAAACTGTAGCCATAACAAAGTAGTCATTCATTGGATTCTATCTCTTTAGAATCTTCTGTTATGTGTAGATAGCTATCCTGTGGTCCTTTAGGCTGCACAGTCTCATTTCACATTTGTTTTCTTTCCCTTACATATCCATTCTCTTTATAGTTGCCTCTCAAGATCACGTCCACTATAGATTTCCTTTCCCACTGGACTGGAATCAAATGTAGGAGGTCCTGCTCCCAAGACTCCTCTGTCTTTTATATTGAGATGACAGTTTCCAGAGGGTCAAAATTATATTGCCCTTTGCAGCAGATGCTTTCTAATTAAAATCTTTGTTATTCTTTCTTTCTCTGCCTTTTCTCTTCCCTTCATTCTCATCTGCACCTCCATCTTCCCTCTTTGTCTGTTTTGTAACTTAAAAGGTCCTCAGTGTCTACTAGTGATTCTTCTTGAAAGATCAAAAGCAAAAGTAAAATCAGAACAAAATCAACTCCACTCTCCCCCAAAAGAGCCATTTCACATATGACTTTGTTAGTAAGAGGCAGATGGCTCTAAGAGCTTTGTTTTTAAAATAATTACATTTTGAAAGGTAATTCAACACATGGTACAAAATCCAAATGTACAAAAAGGTAGAGGATGAAAAATAAGCCTTATCCCAACCCCAGCCACTCAGCTTCTCTCCCTTGAGGTAATTCTTGTTACTAATAATCCTTGTATACATATTCTTTTGCATGTTTTTTTATTTGTTTTAGTTTTCGAGCTATTTTATTTTAATTGCTGCATAGTAATCACATATATTTATGGGGTACAGTAGGATCTTTTGATACATTCACATGTTGTGTAATGATCAAATAAGGGTAATTAAAATATCCATCACTTAAAACATTTATTATTTTTTTGTGGTGAAGCATTCAAAATCCTTTCTTCTAGATTTTTAAAACATACAATATAATATTGTTGATTATAGTCACCCAACTGTAACAGAACACCAGAACTTATTCCTTCCCACTACTCTCCTCATCCTCTCAAAACTATTACTATTCCACTCTCTACTTCTATGACATCAACTATTTTAGATTCCACATGTGAGTGATTTCTTGCACAATTTGTTACTGAAATGGTGAATACTTTACACATTACTTTTTTCACTTCATAAATATTTTGGAGATGACTATCCAAACATACAGTTTGCCTCATTTTACAAGTTTTTTAAATACCTTCTTTCAAGGCTGAAGATAATATTTAGAAATCCCTAAGCATTAGAGTCCATTAAGAAAATTAAATATTTTTTCACACCCTCCCAAGTTGCATACACACAAAATCACACATACATGAAATTGTCTACACCAACGTGAACAACATGTTCAAAGAGGGTTTTCCTGGCTTTAAAAAAGAGAGATCCCAAAGGGGAATGAATGAAAGAGAGGAGAGATGGGAATAGAAAAGATAGCAGACTGAATTGGACATAACTTTCTTATGTTCATATATGAATACATGACCAGTGAAATTCCACATCATGTACAACCACAAGAATGGGATCCTAATTAGGATGTTATATTCCATATATGTACAATATGTCAAAATATGCTGTACTGTCATGTATATTTAAAAAGATCAAAAATTTTTATTGTAACTCTAAAAATTTTTGGTTCTACCTCTGAGAGAGAGAGAGAGAGAGAGAGAGAGAGAGAGAGAGAGAGAGAGAGAGAAGGGAGGGGCCAGGTCCCTGCAAAACTAACACACAGTTGAATTCATTAAGTTTGTCTGGGTTCAAAAACTAGAGGCAATGCCTCAGTAATTAGATATGTTATTAAATTAAGTATCTATCCATATGAACCATAAGAAATTTCTTCTTTAATAGAAACTGTAGAGCCTTTAATCAATCCAGTGGCTAGTGTTGCTTTTTATAGTTCAAATATATCATATTTTAAAGCATTTTTATTAACTCTGATCAGCTCATCATTGTTGATAGAGCATTCAGAAAAGCCATTAATTGTTCATGTCCTTCTACTGTAATATTTATAATGCAGAGTTGAATCTGTCCTGCAAATAAAACTCAGGTGTAAGGTGGGGAGAGGAGAGTAACTTTGGGGGAAAAAAACATAATTTGTTTTTCTGCTAATGAAAAATAGTCTTCTAGGGAATTCGACTGAGAGGTTTCTGCATATGTAGGACAGAAACATCTTATGGGATTTCTAACTTGGTATTGAAGAGTACCCTTAACTGGGCTCAGAAGGTTGGTGTTTTAGTCCTAACTCTGCTACCAGTGGGTATGAGTGAACTCTGTCAAGTTCTTCATCTCTCTAGGTCTAGGTGTCCTTAGATTAAATGGAACTGACTAAGTGATGTTCAGAATCTTGGTAAAATAGGAGCTTATGTTTTCCTACCTCACTGTAGTCTTCTTTATTTTTTTGTTTGTTTCTTATAGTTGTTGGATCAAAGATGATTCTCTCTTTTACATCTCAGTGGTGGCTTATTTTTGCTTCATATTTCTGATGAATCTCTCCATGTTCTGCATTGTCCTCGCTCAACTGAATTCCATGAAATCCCAAAGCCAGAAGACTCGGCAGAAGATGATTCTGCATGATCTCAAAGGCACATTAAGCCTGACATTCTTGCTTGGCCTCACCTGGGGGTTTGCCTTTTTCGCCTGGGGACCCGTGAGGATATTTTTCTTATATCTTTTTGCCATTTGTAACACTTTGCAAGGTAACTGCTGCTTCTCTGTTCTCTGTGTGGCTATCTACACCAAGGCTTTGGTTGCTTTGAAAAATAATCTCATCTTTTAGAGACTTAAAGGAGGAGAAAATAGTCCAGGAGGCCTCTGTTCACAACTATTTGACAATAAGCCATTGGAAATATTAGCTAGATGCTACCCCTCATTATAGGAATGAAGTTTAAGAGTATAAGAATTGTAGGAATGAAGGTTAGAGCAAGGAGTTGTGGGCCAAGGCAACATGCCAAGGTTCTAGTCTTAGTTTTGCTACAAATCCTCTTCAGAATCTCACCATAACTGATTGAGTTAGATGATCCTAAGCTAAGGGCTCTATAGCTCTTTAATCTCCTTCATATATTCTGGTGAAAGAAATAAATGATCAATGAAGTGATTAACAATAGAAAAAAAGGCAACATAAGAAGTAAAGCTGGGGGGCTGGTTAATATATTTTTGAGTAATTATTGATATGCATTTTAACCTGATTTGTTCTATAAAAACAATCTTTGGGTGATTTGGGGACGCATGTAGAATTGTTTCATGGAGGACTGAAGCTTGTCTTCATACTACTATCCTCATCTTCGGCCAAGACCATTTAGGCTACTGGGGCTAGCAGGGAGCCAACTTAGCTCCATTGAGTTAAGGTCTCCTTTAGTACTCTCTACTATTTTCCACTCAATATACACCTCCTTCCTAAATTCACTCCACTTGTGGTCCCAGGGGATGCTCCATCAGGAAAAGGTCTCTTTGGTCAAAGAAGCATGGAAATGCAGCAATTCATTCCCTCATTCTTCAGAATATAGCTTGTTAAAAACTCTCAGAAGCTATTGAAAAATATTTAAAATTTTGTTTCAACTTTACATTTTTAAAACCTCAGAACCTTTTTAAAATTATGGTCGTTTGTCCTTGAGGAATCTCAGGAAATATGAATTGATATGCAATTATATTCCAGGCCTTTCCAAAGTGGTATAGGGATGTGGTGGAGCAATCTGTATACGTCATAGTTTTACCCTAATGTCTTATGATTCAAGAACCCATCTCATTTGCAGCAGTATGGTGACTTAACAGAAATATTGTGTCCCACCAGATTCTAGTCTACCAACCTTATATAGTAGTTCCCCTTATTTCTGTTTTACTTTCCACAGTTTCAATTATCAAGTGTCAACCATGGTCTGAAAATATTAAATGAAAAATTCAAGAAATATACAATTCAAAAATTTTAAATAATTTTATTATAGAATGTTGATATAATTGTTTTATTCCATTATTAGTTGTCATTCATCTATTATTGTGCCTAATTTATAAATTGAAATTTATCATAGGTATGTATGTGTAGCAAAGATAATATATATATAGGATTTGGAACTCTCCATAGTTTCAGGCATTCTACTGGGGATCTTGGAATGCATCCCTTCCTTTGGATTACAGGGGATTACTATACAGCCATATTCTGACTGGAAAGTGTAAAGGTGCAAAATGTGCTGTTCTTCCTTCAGGTGCCATTTAAATTTTTTTTAGTTGCAGATGGACACAATATCTTTATTTTTTTTTTTTTTTTTTTTTTAATTTTTTATTGTGGGTTGTTCAAAACATTACAAATTTCTTGACATATCATATTCCACACTTTGATTCTAGTGGGTTATGAACTCCCACCTTCACCCCATACACAGATTGCAGATTCACATCAGTTACACATCCATTGATTTACAAATTGCCATACTAGTGTCTGTTGTGCTCCGCTGCCTTTCCCATCATCCACAATATCTTTATTTTATTGAATTATTTGTATGTGGTGCTGAAGATTGAACCCAGTGCCTTACACACGCAAGGCAAGAGCTCTATCACTGAGCTACAACCCCAGACTTTAGGTGCCATTTTTATTGCCTCTGGTAGTAGGAATGAGTTTTTTAGGAACACCCCCACCACACACACACACCAGACTTACTTGATACCCTTTGAGATTACCTGCACTTGGTTATAATATAGATTACTGACTGAGGCTTTAATGCTGGTTCTACATTTTTCCTCTGGACAAAACCACCTGGCCCACACTGAGGTACTCTAACTCCTTACTCCAGCATGATGCTCTAACCTCAAGAACTAACTGCACTTGGTGTAGAATGTTCAAAGAAGTGGCTTAGGAACTAGGTGCCTGCCCAGACTTCTTTCTTAGTACTAACTCCAGACATCTCATTGGCTCACTAATCTGAGGAGAAATGTACTCACTCTATTGAAAGAGGGGTTCAAGGAAAGCTGACAAAGAACAAGAGAGCAGTTTTGAGCTTGAAAAGGAAGGAGGTGTTTTCAAAACAGCCAGTGCTCCATTCCTGAGGTGGAAGTGGAAAGTAGTGTCTAAGCAGGGAGCCTACATGAGTAGAAGCAGAATTTAATTGGGTATTGTTTTGAAGACTAAAACCAAGGTCCCATAGATCCAGCATCAACAGAGCCAAGCTGTCTCTGTCTGTCACATATGCTTTACGTCAATCAAGCACCCAGTGTTCCTAGTCCTGCCTACAAGATAGAATGTGCCATCTATCTTGGGAGGGTGTTTTCAGAGCTCTGAGTTTCAAACTCAAGTCTTACCCCCGCTTCTCTCTCTCTCTCTCTCTCTCTCTCTCTCTCTCTCTCTCTCTCTCTCTCTCTCTCCCACACACACACACACACACACACACACACACACACACACCAAGTAACTGCAAAACAAGAATGCAGTGAAACACAGGAACAAACTAGCTATTTACACAGCAAATGGCAAGCTTGCAATCTGGCTAAGGGGGTTGTCCTGTGGTCAGGTGGGAAAAATTATGTTCATGATGAGTCATTTGTGAAGGAAGGGTGCACAAATAAAAATGCAGGTGACAAAAACCTGACATCTTCCCTCATGCCTGTGTTCTGGTGAGTAAGCAGATCAATCTGTTATTGGAAAGAAAAGGGAAGGCTGTCAGGCAGAGAGGGAAAGCTGGAAGGCAGCTCATTGGGAATTCACAGAATAACCTTTAAGTCTGAGAATTAACCAAAACTCCATGCAGAAAATCAGAGCAGTAATAGGTGCTTGATGTCACTGTTGCCCCTTGTTTGTGCTGAAGCTGGAGGAGTTTCACCTGCTCTGAGGCTGAGGCTTGCTCTCATCAGGTTGCTGCACCACCAGCCAGGTGGCTGCTGCTCAAAGAGTGAATGCTGCTGAATTCATCCCCACAGTTGTGTGGTTACACATGGAGCTAAAGCCCTGGGGATAGTTAGTGAAACATGTCATTTTGTTTAGCCTCCAGATTGCTGCCTCCCACCTGGAATCAGAATCTCTCAGGGCTGGAACCAGGGGACCAAGATCTTCCTAATCCAACTCCTCATCAAGTGACAATAAGTCACTGAACCTTTCCTGGCACAACATTCCATAAATTTGATGTAAATTTCCTATGTACATATATGAATATACCACAGTGAATCTCACCATCATGTACATCCATAAGAAATTAGTTAAATAATAACTATGGGTAAAGGGCAGAAAGATCAATAGAGGGAAGGTAGCAGGAGGTGAGGGGAGAGGAGGGAAAGGAGAGGTACTGGGGTCTGAATTAGAGCAACATATATCCTGTGCTTGCATATTTATGTCAAAATAGATTCTATTTTCATGTGTAACTGAAAAGCAGCAAAAATTTAAAAAGAAAAAGGAAAGGAAGCCCCACCCCCCACCCAGAAAGAAAGCTCAATATCCCATAAAGCAGAGTATTTAATTTCTCCTTCTCCTTCTCCTCCTTCTCCTTCTCCTTCTCCTCCTCTTCCTCATTCTCCTTCTCCTTCTTCTTCTCCTCCTCCTCTTCTCCTTCTCCTGTACCAGGGATTGAATTCAGGGGCATTCGACCATTGAGCCACATCCCCCAGCCTCTTTCTGTATTTTGTTTTGAGACATGGTCTTGTAAGTTGCTTAGGGCCTCACTAAGTTTCTGGGGCTGGCTTTGAACTCATGATCCTCCTGCATCAACCTCCCAAGCTGCTGGGATTACATGTGTGCACCACTGTACCCATCCAGCATCTTCTTTACCCAAGAGTAGTATAGTATGGTGGTTAAGAATGTGGGCTCTACAGTCAGACTGCCTGTGTTCAGTTCTGATGCTGCCAACTTAAATATTAGCTTTGTGACCTGGGTCAAGTTTACTAGATTTCTTGGACTCTGAGGTCTCTCATCTGTAAACATGAGACTAATAACACAATGCCTATCACAGAGCCATTGTTAGCAAACACTAGCTGTGATTTATTATTTTCTGGCTGTTCTGTAGCTTCCTTGCATTGCTCCTGGTTCCAACCTGGCAACCACAAAGAACAGGCATAATTTCTCCTTTTGATGACAGCCTTTTCAGAACTGTGACTAATGCTACCAACCTCTCCTCACCCTGCATTTCTCATCCCAAGAATTTTCTTATCTGGATACAACACTCCAGCTTTTCTACAAGTTCATTTCTATCCTTGTTTATTTTATTCTTTTTTGAGGAGGTACCTGGGATTGAACTCAGGGGCACTCGACCACTGAGCCACATCCCCAGCCCTATTTTGGATTTTATTTAGAGACAGGGTCTCAGTTGCTTTTGCTGAGGCTGGCTTTGATCTCACTATCCTCCTGTCTCAGCCTCTCCAGCCACTTGGATTACAGGTATGCACCATCATGCCTGGCTATTATTCTTGAATATTTCTCTTTGTCATCATCCTCTTAAAACAAAGCCTCCTAAACTGAACTGGTAGGAGCTATGGTCAACCCATGGCAGATGGCAGAGACTCTTACCTGCCTCAGTCTAGATTCTTTACTTCCACTAAGGCCCTAGCTGAAATTGTCTTTGAACACATTTACTGTATTGACTTGTGCTCAGTTTGCAATGAGTTAAGATCATTATGTTACTAATCATTGATGTGCATAACAACTTGCCATATAGAGAGCAAGCTGAACACTGCCCTGTATGCAGAACAAAGGTTTTTGAACTGGCCTTGGGACCAAAATACATATTTTGAGATCCAAGAAGGAATTGCTAAGGTTGTAGAAGGCTGTGAGAGTTTACACTTCAAGTGCTTTGGAGTCCAAATCATTGATAATCTATTGAGCTGCCACACAGAATACTGTAGACAAAAGGGAAGGTGATATGAGATGGAAAGGAAACATACCTCTCCCCTTCAAAGACTTGGCACTTAGATGGTGAGATGGAAAATCCATGGAAAGTTATGTGACTAAACAGGGCAGATATTATGAGAAATTAAGCATCATGGGAGTTCAGGAGTGGTAAAGGTGAGTTCCAGTTTGAGGCATCTGTAAAGGCTTTGTGGATAAAGACTTTTGGCATGGACCATAAATAAAAGTGAAAGTATCAACAGGAGTTATTTCTGCCAATTCCACCACAGACTTTTGGAAATCCAGTTGTCCCTCCGAGGACTTTGCAACAAGGATCATCTTAAGTCCCAATTTTGCATCCCAAGGAGAATGATGGGGTAAAAATTGGCTCATACTGCTCATAAATGCCTTTGGCACTCTCCTCCCACTTGTGGGACAAAATCAGGGCAGTAGAAATCAAGGGCATCAGATATGTGTTTTCCACATACTGTAATTGTGGAAAGATGATGTGTATTAGTTATTTATGGTCGTGTAGCTAATTACCCCTGAATTTTTATTATCTCATACAGGGTATGAGGGTCAGGAACTCAGGAGCAGCTTAGCTGATTATTTCTGGTTCAGAGACTCTGATGAAGTTGGAGTTAAGCTGTCAGCTAACACTGTAATCATCAGAAGACTTGACTGGGACTTGGGGAACTGCTCCTACAAATGCCCACTCACATGGCTGTGGACTAGAAGATTCAGTTCCTTACCATGTGGTCCTCTCCACAGAGATGCCAAGATATCCTCAGGACAACATGCTTGACTTTTTTAGAGTGAATGATGGGAGAAAGGGAAAAAAAGAGAGAGAAAGGGAAAGGGGGCAGGGGGAGAGGAAATATGACTTTATTATGTTTTATAACCTAATCTTAGCATGTCACTGCCATATTCTGTTGAAAGGAGACTGCACAAGAATGTGAATGACTGGATGTGGGGAATCACTGAAAACTATCTCAGAGACTGGATATCCTAGCAGCTCTTATTTCTAATGGTCTAAGATAGATAGCAATCTAGGGGAAAAGGAGTGGTGGACATAAAGTTTTGATAACAAACCTTTTTGCCATCACTGTCCTTATAAAAGCTAGAAAAATGAGATCAGAAATCGGGTAATGGCCCTGGGGCTCTTTGGAAATAGCATTGACAAGAGCAGCTTTGTGTCTAGTTATTGGTTACAGCTGATGAAAAAGACTGACCTCCTTCTCCTGGCTTAGGATTCCTCATTTTTGTGTTTTACTGTGTGATGAAGGAGAATGTACGAGAGCAGTGGCAGATACACCTCCGTTGTGGGTGGTTGCGAATGGATAACTCTTGTGGTAAGATGCCAGTCTGGGTAAGGTTTTGAATTTTACATGTTTTACAAAACTGATCAGATGAACCTATCTCCTAACTTGAGTTCAAACAGTATCAGCATCAAAATACAGTCTGTTTCTCTGACCTGAAAATGATTTGTATTTTTACACTAAGATGAATGCAGTCAAGTGAAGAATGTGACTTGGGTCATACATTAGCCTAGTGGAGCTTTTGTTTTAGCCCAGATTCCTTGGATCACTTTTCCTCTATGCCACATCACCACTGATTCAATCAAAATAGCATTGATTGAGTGCCTGCTGTGTTTAGGCACTGGGTCACAGGAACTTCTGGCCAAGTAGCCAACAGTAGATTGAGAAGATGTGAAAAGCAAAGAGTGGTGGTGGTGGTGGAGAGAACTTACCAACATGCCAAACATGTCTGGCCAGTGGGCTGCCAGGATGGTTCTTCTGATGGCCTTCTCAGTAAAGTGGGAGATGTAGTAGATGCTAATGTTGTCTCTTAGCAGTGGTGATTACCGTGAGAATGTCTCCAGTACAGGCAAGTTTAATTTTTATATATCAAAAGTATCTTCCATCTAACTCTAGCAGTTGTCTCAGTCTCAATACAAAGCTCAGTCTGCTTCCCTTAGGGAAGACTGCATTTGAACTCTAAGATTCTATGAGTACCACCAAGATCTCCTTCCTTTATACAAAGTGTATCTGTGACCTGTGGTCCTTATACTGTAGGGAAAGCAGGTCTCCTTGGTAAGTGCTTTGACTTTTCCTTTGCCACACATGATAGTACGAACTTACCTCTCATGACTTTGTAGAAAAGCTAACTCTTAGAATGAACAAGCACTGTGCATTGAGCTTTATATTTCCCCCTGTTTTTATTGATGTATTACAATTATACATAATAGTGAGATTTGTTGTCATATATTCACCCATACACACAATATAACACTATAATTTGGTTAGTATCATGCCCTATTATTTCCCCTCTCCATCACTTCCTCTGTCCCCCAGGATTTTATATTTTAGCAGGACTATTGTGGTATCATAAAAGTCATTGATTTTAAGTGTAGAGTTTGATAAGCTGTTATGTTTTAACATTTTTTGCATTATTTCAGATGGAAGTAGCAGGTGTGGGTTAAATGTTGGGTATAAACAGAAGAGACTGAAGAAAAGCTTTGAGCACAAATTGTTGGCAGCATCCCTTAAATCAACGGCAACAAGCTCCACTTCCAAGTCTTTAGGCTGTGTACAAGGCACTCCTTCAGAAATGATCTTCCCATACGGTGAGGAAAAGGCTGTGTTGCTTACATTTATAGCCCAGTGATACTGAATTAATCTGAGACCATGTAGTAGGTCTTAAATAATACTTCCTGTTGAAACCTGCACACACACACACACACACACACACACACACACAGAGCTTTAGTCAGATTTTTCATCACTGTGACCAAAAATCCTGGCAAGAACAACATAAAGAAAGAACAATTTATGTGGGGCTCACAGTTTCAGAGGTTCAGTTCATTGACAGCTGACTTCATAGCTCTGGGTCCAAAGTGAGGTAGAACATCATGGCAGAAGGGTGTGGTAGAGGAAAGTAGCTCAGAACATGGCAACAGGAAGCAGAGAGAGCTCTGCTCACCAGGAACAAAATATAAACTCCAAAGTTATGCCCAAGTGACCTACCTCCTCCAGCTACACTCCACCTGCCTACAGTAACCATAACCATTGACCCAATTCATAAATCTTAGTGGATTAATACAATGGTTAGGTAACAATTGTCATAATCTAATAGATTTCACCTGTGAACAGTCTTACATTGTCTCACACATGTACTTTTAGGGGACATCTCATAACCAAACCACACACATACGTACATGTACACATCTGGGCTCATTCTTGGCTGAGAACATGTATAGAGAAGCACTTAGCAAACTTAATATGTACAAATCTGATGAGTTATTACACTAATGGGACGACAGGAGACAGGTTAGAAAAATTCATGGGAGTTAAAAACAATTGTCACAGACTGTTGAAAGCACAAGAACCTAGACATTGTATAATCCTGTTCCCTAATTTTACAGATGTGAAACATTAATCAGGGTAAAGGAAAGTGCCTTAAGGACAGTCATTCTGTTCAGCAGCAGCAGACTGGGACCAGAAATAAGGTCTCCTGGCTTTCAGGACTAGTGCACCCTACCAAGATTACCCTTTGAGTTACATGTTCACCTTGTTCTATAGGAAGCAATATTTATAGGTAGAGACTAGAGATGGAGCATTGGGAGAGAAAGTGTAAGGAAAGGATGGGTCTATAGGCTAAAACAGAGAAAGGTAAAGTGATCAAGAACTTAACAACTTTAAGTTGATGTGATGACATTGCATTCTGTACTTCTTTTTTTAAATTTTTTATTGTTGGTTGTTCAAAACATTACAAATTTCTTAATATATCATATTTCACACTTTGATTCAAGTGGGTTATGAACTCCCATTTTTACCCCATATACAGATTGCAGAATCACATCAGTTACACATCCATTGATTTACGTATTGCCATACTAGTGTCTGTTGTATTCTGCTGCCTTTCCTATCCTCTACTATCCCCCCTCCCCTCCCCTCCCCTCCCCTCTTCTCTCTCTACCCCCTCTACTGTCATTCATTTCTCCCCCTTGTATTATTTTTCCCTTTCCCCTCACTTCCTCTTGTATGTACTTTTGTATAACCCTGAGGGTCTCCTTCCATTTCCATGCAATTTCCCTTCTCCCTCCCACCTCTCATCCCTGTTTAATGTTAATCTTCTTCTCATGCTCTTCGTCCCTACTCTGTTCTTAGTTACTCTCCTTATATCAAAGAAGACATTTGGCATTTGTTTTTTAGGGATTGGCTAGCTTCACTTAGCATAATCTGCTCTAATGCCATCCATTTCCCTGCAAATTCTATGATTTTGTCATTTTTTAATGCAGAGTAATACTCCATTGTGTATAAATGCCACATTTTTTTTTATCCATTTGTCTATTGAAGGGCATTGAGGTTGGTTCCATAGTCTTGCTATTGTGAATTGTGCTGCTATGAACATCGATGTAGCAGTTTCCCTGTAGCATGCTCTTTTTAGGTCTTTAGGGAATAGACCGAGAAGGGGAATAGCTGGGTCAAATGGTGGCTCTATTCCCAGCTTTCCAAGAAATCTCCATACTGCTTTCCAAATTGGCTGCACCAATTTGCAGTCCCACCAGCAATGTACAAGTGTACCCTTTTCCCCACATCCTCGCCAGCACTTGTTGTTGTTTGACTTCATAATGGCTGCCAATCTTACTGGAGTGAGATGGTATCTAAGGGTGGTTTTGATTTGCATTTCTCTGACTGCTAGAGATGGTGAGCATTTTTTCATGTACTTGTTGATTGACTGTATGTCCTCCTCTGAGAAGTGTCTGTTCAGGTCCTTGGCCCATTTGTTGATTGGGTTGTTTGTTATCTTATTGTCTAATTTTTTGAGTTCTTTGTATACTCTGGATATTAGGGCTCTATCTGAAGTGTGAGGAGTAAAGATTTGTTCCCAGGATGTAGGCTCCCTATTTAGCTCTCTTATTGTTTCTTTTGCTGAGAAAAAACTTTTTAGTTTGAGTAAGTCCCATTTGTTGATTCTAGTTGTTAACTTTTGTGCTATGGGTGTCCTATTGAGGAATTTGGAGCCCAACCCCACAGTATGTAGATCGTAGCCAACTTTTTCTTCTATCAGACGGCATGTCTCTGATTTGATATCAAGCTCCTTGATCCATTTTGAATTAACTTTTGTGCATGGTGAGAGAAAGGGATTCAGTTTCATTTTGTTGCATATGGATTTCCAGTTTTCCTAGCACCATTTGTTGAAGATGCTATCCTTCCTCCATTGCATGCTTTTAGCCCCTTTATCAAATATAAGATAGTTGTAGTTTTGTGGATTGGTTTCTGTGTCCTCTATTCTGTACCATTGGTCCACCCGCCTGTTTTGGTACCAGTACCATGCTGTTTTTGTTACTATTGCTCTGTAGTATAGTTTGAGGTCTGGTATCGCTATACCGCCTGATTCACACTTCCTGCTTAGCATTGTTTTTGCTATTCTGGGTCTTTTATTTTTCCATATGAATTTCATGATTGCTTTCTCTATTTCTACAAGAAATGCCGTTGGGATTTTGATTGGCATTGCATTAAACCTATAGAGAACTTTTGGTAATATTGCCATTTTGATGATGTTAGTTCTGCCTATCCATGAACAGGGTATATTTTTCCATCTTCTAAGATCTTCTTTTTCTCTCTTTAGGGTTCTGTAGTTTTCATTGTATAAGTCTTTCACCTCTTTTGTTAGGTTGATTCCCAAGTATTTTATTTTTTTTTTTGAAGATATTGTGAATGGAGTGGTTGTACTCATTTCCATTTCAGAGGATTTGTCGCTGATATACAGGAATGCCTTTGATTTATGTGTGTTGATTTTATATCCTGCCACTTTGCTGAATTCATTTATTAGCTCTAATAGTTTCTTTGTAGACCCTTTTGGGTCTGCTAGGTATAGAATCATGTCACTGCAAATAGTGATAATTTAAGTTCTTCTTTTCCTATTTTGATGCCTTTAATTTCTTTCGTCTGTCTAATTGCTCTGGCCAGTGTTTCGAGAACTATGTTGAACAGAAGTGGAGAGAGAGGGCATCCCTGTCTTGTTCCATATTTTAGAGGGAATGCCTTCATTTTTTCTCCATTCAGAATGATGCTAGCCTGAGGCTTAGCATAGATTGCTTTTACAATATTGAGGTATGTTCCTGTTATCCCTAGTTTTTCTAGAGTTTTGAACATAAAGGGATGCTGTACTTCGTCGAATACTTTTTCCGCATCTATCGAGATGATCATATGGTTCTTATTTTTAAGTCTATTGATGTGGTGAATAACATTTATTGATTTCCGTATATTGAACCAGTCTTTCATCCCAGGGATGAATCCTACTTGATCATGGTGCACAATTTTTTTGATATGTTTTTGTATCCGATTCGCCAGAATTTTATTGAGGATTTTTGCATCTAGGTTCATTAGAGATATTGGTCTGTAGTTTTCTTTCTTTGAAGTGTCTTTGTCTGGTTTAGGTATCAGGGTGATGTTGGCCTCGTAGAATGAATTTGGAAGTTCTCCCTCTTTTTCTATTTCCTGAAGTAGCTTGAAAAGTATTGGTATTAGTTCCTCTTTAAAGGTTTTGTAAAACTCTGCTGTATACACATCCGGTCCTGGGCTTTTCTTAGTTGGTAGTCTTTTGATGGTTTCTTCTATTTCCTCAATTGATATTGATCTGTTTAGGTTGTCTATATCCTCCTGACTCAATCTGGGCAGATCATATGACTTAAGAAATTTATCGATGCCTTCACTATCTTCTAATTTATTGGAGTATAAGGATTCAAAATAATTTCTGATTATCTTCTGTATTTCTGAAGTGTCTGTTGTGATATTGCCTTTTTCATCTCGTATGCTAGTAATTTGAGTTCTCTCTCTTCTTCTCTTTGCTAGCATGGCTAAGGGTCTGTCGATTTTGTTTATTTTTTCAAAGAACCAACTTTTAGTTTTGTCAATTTTTTCAATTGTTTCTTTTGTTTCGATTTCATTAATTTCAGCTCTGATTTTAATTATTTCTTGCCTTCTACTTCTTTTGCTGTTGTTTTGCTCTTCTTTTTCAAGGATTTTGAGATGAAGTATGAGATCATTTATTTGTTGGTTTTTTCTTTTTTTAAGGAATGAACTCCAAGCAATGAATTTTCCTCTTAGAACTGCTTTCAATGTGTCCCATAGATTCCGATATGTTGTGTCTGTGTTTTCATTTATCTCTAAGAATTTTTTAATTTCCTCCTTGATGTCTTCTATAACCCATTGATCATTCAGTAACCTATTGTTCATTCTCCAAGTGATGTATGCTTTTTCCTTCCTTCTTTTATCGTTGATTTTCAGTTTCATTCCATTATGATCAGATAAGATGCATGGTATTATCTCTACTCCTTTATATTGTCTAAGAGTTGCCCTGTGAGATAATATATGATCTATTTTTGAGAAGGATCCATGTGCTGCTGAGAAAAAAGTGTAACTGCTTGATGTTGGGTGGTATATTCTATATATGTCAATTAAGTCTAGGTTATTAATTGTGTTATTGAGTTCTATAGTTTCCTTATTCAACTTTTGTTTGGAAGATCTGTCCAGTGGCGAGAGAGGTGTGTTGAAGTCTCCCATGATTATTGTATGGTGGTCTATTAGACTCTTGAACTTGAGAAGAGTTTGTTTGATGAACATAGCTGCACCATTGTTTGGGGCATATATATTTATGATTGTTATGTCATGTGATGACATTGCATTCTGTACTTCTAGTTGGTCCATGATGCAATGATCTTGGTTGACTTTCTTGAAGACCAGAATAGATCCCCGCTCACACACAGATAGACCACCTTTGTAGCCATTCTCTCACCCTCTTAGTGCTGATAGTATGACTGCTCATCCACTTGTATTTTTTTTATTATGTTGGTTCCAAAAAAACAGCTGTTTTCCAGAGCTGAAGCTCATCTGGAAGTAGTCTGGTGGATTTTAAAAAGCACTTAACTTTGTATGGGAAAGCTAGTAGTGTACATGAAAGAAACCTTTCCTTGGCCACAAGCATTTATCAGACTCTAGCCAACTAACTTGTGGGTATGTTCTGGTGCTCATATGGAGGCACAGGGGAGCCACAGCACAGAGAAGACCTGGACTGTGGAAGCTAGCTCCTTTCTGCATAATAGTTGGGGCTGATTGGATGATATCATTTTCGCCAAAGGATTAGTTAGTATTGGTTCCCCTGCTGCCCCTGGAGTATATTTCATTAGCAAATAAATAGTCCAAATGTACACATATTTTTCTTCAGAGGAACAGTAGCAATACATGTGAAGGATTCTAATATTGTTGTACTAAGCAATAGACCTGGACAGCCAAGGGGCCTGGGACCTGTCTCAAAGTGAGTGACAGGTAGACCGCCCCATGTTCTAAAATTGAAGTTTGGATGCTACCACCCAACATGTGGTAGCCAAAAGCCAGATTCCACTAGCACAGAGTGAAAACTCATACTCTTTTTAACACCAGACAATCTCAACTTTGAGAAATAGCCAAACTTCCAGTGTAAGAATATCAAATCCATAGGGAATATTAGATATTCTTATTCTACTTTCCAAGGCCTCCAAAGTTTGGCCATAAATATCCTCCCCTAGGTTAAGTTTAAGATCAGTAACACTGTTTATCACAATGGGGAAGAACGCTTTTGCCTAAACAATATGCTGTCAAAACAAATTAATTCATTCCATATTTATATTAAACCATCCAAAGAAAGCAACACAATGTTCACTTCTTTTATTTTCTTATATACCTTTATTTTATTTATTAATTTTATGTGGTACTGAGAATGGAACCCAGTGTGTCACATGTGCAAGGCAAGTACTCTACCACTGAGCTATAGCCCCAGCCCTCTTTCCCTTCCTTTCTAATTGTTCATTCAATCATTCAATACAAATTTTTCATGATTCTACCATATGCACAGTTCTTAATGCCCCAGCTGAAAAATATTCTTGTTTTTGTTAATGCAGATGACATGGATGAAGATACCTACTGTTTTTCTTCCTTGGGTTGTGAAGTTATGCCTGACTGTGCAAGAAGAATATTACCTATGGAAATCAAAATGAATTCCAGCCACAAAGATTTTTTTTCAATAAATCTCAGCAGAGATGCTCACCTCCTCCCACCTCTGGGCTGGGAAAAGTGTTGAATTTATGAAACAATGTGCTCCAACCTCCAATGAGATAATATTTGGTGAATATTAAAGTTGTAATAATTCTATTCATTGTTACAATTGTTTCTTTTTTTAAAGATTAGATTGGAGCCTTTAGTTATGGTACATTAGGGGAGAAATGTCTACAACATTTTGTTCCAAAAATGTTAACTGTGTGCATCCTAAATGAAAATAGTCAAGATTGGGGGCCTTACTGTCCTGCTCTGGGAGACAATTGCAGATGGCCAATGTATTGGTATCCCCAGCTGGCCTGACACACAAAGGAGAAGTAGGTAGGAAGAGCCACAGGTCATATCTTTTTTGAGAAAAGAAAACTGCCTTGTTTGTCTGTCATGACAAAGCACCTGAAATCCTCATTATTCAAGTTATATTTTGATTGAAGCCCCTTATTAAAATGCAAACATGTTTTGTGAAAAAGGTAGCTCATCAATCCACAGACACACATGAATTTCTTAGCGGGGACTAATTTCTCAGCTAAGACAGCCCCTTGGGAAACAGTAAACAGGGTCCTGAAGAATGTAACAGCAGGAAGTGTCTGAATCTGCCGTTTCTCCCTTGGGAGGAAGGGGCAGGTCAGGGTGAGCAGGACAGTAGGGGAATGGAAGAGAGAAAGATCAAAGGTGACAGAACGAGCAAAGATGAATTTTGTCTGCTTTGCATCCTTTGGTAAGCATGATAAGAGTTCTTCTTAATCCCATCCCAAATACTACCACTGCAGTTTCCCAGCCAAGCATGCTGCTCACATTCGACCTTGGGTACAAATGAGGAAAGAAATGAACATTCTGGAAGGATACACAAGCAACTGGTATCATTGATTTGCCTTCAAAAAGAGGGACTGTGTATCTGGCTGCAAGGGAAAAGAAAATTTACTTTTCCCTCTGTTTCTATATATCTTTTGAATCTTGAACTGAGAGAATATATTACTTCTTTGAGCAATAAATAAATGAATACACAAAGAAAGTTAATCAAACCCTTCCAATGAGAAAGAAAGATAAATCCTTGGGGTTTAATACTGCCAATCAACTTCCCTACAGTCCTTATGAATGTGTATGATGCAGTGGACTGTGGAGACAGCAGAGCTGAGTTCAAATCCAGCTTTGCCACTTCCTAGATTTGTGACCTTGAGAAATAACAATAATCATACAATTGAAGTGAAGCTTAAATGAGATGATGTTCTCAAAGTTTTCTAGCACAGTGGAATACATGATATGTTAACTACTTTCTACTCACTACCTGCTTACTACTCACCCCCTGTTGGCCCCACCCACCATATCTATTCCATTAAAGGCAACACACTGGATCCTTGAAGTGAAAATTTATGTTGACTAACAAACAGTCTGGAGTTGGTGCCAGTCCCTGGTATAAAGTTCTTAAGTCTCTCTTGCCCCTTTATCAGCTCACATAATATTGAAAACATAGGTAGGCTCTTAAGCCCCAGAATATCTGCCATTAAAATCAGTCCTCTTGTCTATGAAATGTTATCATAAGGAAATCACACATCCATTGTAGCCCATATGATTTCACGTGTACTTTGAAGTGATGGTGTATGTGTGTGAGAGGAATGTGTGTGTGCACATGCGCATATGCATGCACGTGTATGTGTTGGTGAAGGGACTAACCTAAATGATGGCCAAAATGTCTTGGATGTTACATGCATTGGAACTGGCAACATTAAGTCACCATCATTCAAAAGTGGATTTAAGGACAAAACTTAGTTGTAGTTAACAAAGCTACAAATACATGCATTCTGCAAATGGTTTAATTTGGGGGGATCATTTGGTTGTTAAAACGCCCATGATTGTATTTATTTTCCAGACCCTGGTGTTTCTGCTGTGCTGTTGCAGTGATAAATGTGCAGTCTGTCTCTAATGACCTGATATGCTGTCAAAAACAGAAATTTCATGATTCTTGTCATGCCTCCTCCTGTTAATTAGTAAAACATAGGTTTTCTGAAAATTAAATGACAGTTTGAGCTTGCAGGGAGAACACTGATTAAGCAACTTTAAGGGTATCCTTTCATTTTTTTCTTGGGTCCATAAGATGGCTGACACTTTTGTGAAGATGGAAACAAATAATTACAGAAAAGAAACCCTAGGACTTTTTTGTTAAAAATATCATTTGTTCTTTTAATATATACATGACAGTAGAATGTATTTCAAAATATCATATATACATGGAATATAACTTCCCATTTTTGTGGTTGTACATGATGTGGCTCATGTATTCATATAGGCATTACTTTCTTTTTTCTTCATGTATAAACTTTGCTTTATTTATTTATTTTTTATTTTATTTTTTACACATGGAGCACAACTTTTCATTTCTTTGATTGTACATTATGTAGAGTTATACCATTAGTACAACCATATCCATACATAGGGGTAATGATGCCCATACCATTCTACCATCTTTCCCTACACACACTCTCCCTTCCCTCCCTTCTTTCCCCTCCTTCTCCTCTGTTCAATCCAAAGTTCCTCCATTCTTTCCTTGCCCCTGCCCATTATGGATCAGCATCCACTTACCAGAGAAAACATTTTGCCTTTGGTTTTGGGATTGGCTTACTTTGCTTAACATGATATTCTCCAATTCTGTCCATTTACCCATAAATCATAAATGCCATAATTTCATTCTTCTTTAAGGCTGGGTAGTGTTCCATTGTGTGTGTGTGTGTGTGTGTGTGTGTATCACAGTTTCTTTATCCATTCATCTATTGAAGGGCATCTAGGCTACTTCCACAGTTTGGCTATTGGATAAGGCAGAAATCTATTTCTCAATACCCAGGCAAATATTCTTTATTGAGTACTGGCCAATGAATTTACAGAGCCCCTTGGAGCTTCAGGGCACAAGCTCTGGCCTTTCACTCTCTGCTGTGACTGCCGGCAAGCTAGCAAAAAAACAGAATGGTAGTAAACTCTCCCTGAAGTAAGTCTGAGGATGCTCTTCCCATGACTCTAATATTTACTGTTTTGTAAGAAATTCCGAGGGTCATAATGACCATCTGTGATGGCTCATGTCCCCTGCACCCAAGGATATGGGAAGATTGGGGAGCATAAAAAAAAACGGAGGAGGCAAGTTTTGTATATTCAACAGCTTAGGGGTCTATGGTTTAACTGGTTTGCTCCTGATCCTAACCTTTAAGCATTTAGGGAACTCAAGGAGTTGGGAACAATGGGCAGAGGACATATTGATCTCTGTTGATGAGGCAAAACAAGTGAAATGGATTAAATTCATACTTATAAAGTCTGGTACTTCATAAGCACTTCATAAATATTTGTCACATACATGTCAGGATATACAGGAATGAACGGTATAAAATTGTGAGGTGAGAAAGTAGGATGGGAAATGAAAGTTTTCAATCTCTCAAAAGCAGTGTTTCTCCAAGAGGAAAGGCTGTTATAATTTTTAAAGACATTGTGTTTGGGGGCCTGGGACAGTTGGTGAGGTAGGAGGCACATGATATTTAATCCTCTCTGACCTGCTTTGTTTCAATGAGGACCACGTGGTGAGAACACCATTGTTTTCCCATTTCCTGCCAGATCCTGTCAATAGATAAGATTCTTTTCCCATATCCTTAGCTGCATTTGTGGAAAGTCTTCATCTTTTCAGTGTCTTCTTAGAAATTTTCCTGAGAAAGCAGAAGAGGTAGTATAGGAGACTGCTTGTAGAATATTATTCTTAATCCAAAATCATAAACTAAAATCCCTTTTTTGCATCAACAAACAAGTGGGCAATTTAAGTACAGAGAAGAGCTTTGATATAGATCAAAACAATCTATAATTAAATAAGACAGATAAGTCAGTCTTATTAAACAACTAGCCTGTGTCCATAATATTTAGATAAAATAAAGTTTCAGTGAATGTGGCTCAATATCCAATAAGCAATAATTGTACATTGGTGCATATGAAAACTCTTCATCAGGGACCTATTATCAGAAAGGATCAAAGAAATTGACTGAGAGGGCCCTAAAAGTCCCCTCAGTTTGATGAAACTTTAGATAGATTCCTTTCTGATAATAAGTCCCTCGTCCCCTTGGAGAATTTAATTTAGAACCCTAGGAAGTGTTAATCCTTTCTCTGGCTGCTTTAAGATGTAGATCCTCTCCCAATCCATAACCAGTTAAAATTTAGGAAAGGCTTTCTGGAGGATTTGGAAGCCATCACTTTGAAATGTAATCATCTCCCAGTCTCTCTAGGAAGAAAGGAGCCCAATATATTCAAGCGCAAATTAGCAAATGTAGATGGCCTAATCTCACTGACAACCATTCCCTAACTGCTTCCAGAGATTTTCCTCTTGCTCACCTCAGTACTTGGAAACTCCCCCATCTTTTATTTCAAAAGTTGAATTTAAGCTATTCCTCCTACTGCAATAGTTTTGAGCCCTATAGCAATCCAAATGAAGTCTAGTTTGTCTGTTTACAAAAATAATAAAATACATGTGTATATGAAAGCAATGACAGGATTTTACATATCTAGTGTTTATCATCTTAGTTCTGTGTAAACTTACGTTTCCCATTAGCATGTAAGCTTCATGATGGCAAGAACTTTGTCTGCCTTGTTTCCAGGTGTACTGTCAGTGCCCAGTACAATATTTCAGTCCATGTTCTTTGGTTGCCAGCAAAAGAAATCAAATGTCTTTAAACTGAACCATATTGTCATTTCCAATTAACTAAGAAAAGGCACTATAATGAGTTTTCATAACGAAAATAATTTATGGAAAGGTTAAAGGACAAGGCTTGAAAAAGGACAGAGATCTACAAAGCAGGAACCATGGGGATAATCTCCAAACAGGGAAAATTTCTCATAAGGAAACTACTCCTGGGATGGAGAAGCAGTAATTTCTTCCATCTCATGTTACTAATGTAAAACTCACAAATGTTTCTGATCAACTAAGCTTAAAATCTGTGCTGTACTGAGCAGTAAGAGGAGGATTGTGGCAGGAAAAAATCTCCAGGGAGCCTTTTGTTTTTGATAGTGCTAGGACAGAAGTTTGGATTTATCATCT